CCCTGTATATAGCTAAATCTAGAACAAAAACAACACTTGGTCCAATTGAAGTAAATGTTGTCGGAAGTATAGCGTGAAACTTTGCAGCTACTGTTGTTGTAACGTAGTAAAGAATTGTTTGCGGGGAACGAAATTGGGAAAGAAGTGAGAAAAATGCTATTCCAGCCCAAACAAACAAAGTTCGCTATAATATGCATAAAATAGGCTACGCAAGAAAACATTTCATTTGACAAATCTGAGGCGAGTGTTGAACCAGGTATAAAATTACCAGTTGTTGGAAAGAGCATCCCATCGATTTGTCCAAATAAAGTACGGATTCATTCAATCAAAAAATTATTTGGAACTTTCACAGGCGTAGTGTTTAGGAACAGGGAAGAACGTTAAAACGTCATTACCAACGTTATTTCCACGGGGGACTAACTGGTTTTCTAAAAGCTCCGTCAATGATTCCAGTATCGGATAACCCACTCAAATTATATTTATAAGAACTTCCAACGGCCATGGTCCTTAGGGGACACGGTCGGCATTGTAAAAAAAGTTCCATCCGAGTTTTTGAGTTCAAAATATGGGAACCCCAGAAAGACTTGCAAAATGTGACCGCATGATACTGCAGCGATGTATACTCGTACGTTGCAAGACTTAGCAATTAGCACTAGTGGGTGCCTCCAGCCCATGTTAAAACTGTTCTTCAATTATTTCTGAGATTGTCGATTCACATTGCGTATAGAACGTAATAATGTAATATTTTGTTTTAATTAGCTCATCTTTATGTAATTGTAATAGAACATTTAAACAAAACAAAAAAACAGAAGCAAAATTTCTTTAAGTTTCAATAGTAGGGAGAAGTTCGTAACGCTTTTGGTGAGTGCCATATGTTCTTAACTAAAATTTGCACGATTTTAACGAAGAGCGGTGTGAAAATGACGTCTTATCTATTGATATATACAACAATAATTGATACTGATTTTAAACTATAGTTTAGTTGTTGGCGAAGTTGAGAAATATTCAATGTTCAAAAAAATATTTGGATTAGTCCATGAGATAAAACGTTGGTTTATATAAACATACCTCCGACGCTGTTATTGAACCTCCCAATGCAACATACACCAATAACGTAACAAAAGTCAGTATTTTATCTTGGCATGCATAGAAGCAGAAATTAAAAGCTTTCAATGAAGACGATAAAAGAATTTTCTCAACTTCCTTCCTACAGAAAGATAATTGCATAATAAACATTATGTTTGATTTCAAATCGAAAAACGAACAAACTTTGTACGTGGTGCTATAATATCCGTTAAAATTGTAGCACAGTTCCTAGAATAGAAATTCACGTACGTGGTATATGTAACATAATGGCCGCCTGCATGGTCTATTTTAGGGGTGCACAGCCTTTTTGCTATTGGCGGCCACATTGCATTTATTTCTATTCAATACGGCCTCAAGGGGGTTGAAGAGCGCGCTCAATGCGCGCGATTTTTTGCTTTTATGACGTCATAACCACGTATTTGACCCATGCGAGGTGCAGTCTGCCCAATTATGAAGTATGTAGGACTACTTGGAAGTATAATATTCGCATTTTAAACGTTTTTTCTTTTTGGTGGACCTATACTTGAGCCGATATATTGCAGCAAGTTGCATAATGGTTGCACAATTTTGAAAAAAATCGAAAGTCGGGGAGGAGGGAGGGGCGGTCGCCCCCATTTTCTTGTCCCCAAAAGTATAATAAACTGTCAAATATTTTAATGAATTAATTCCATAAAAGTTTGCAAAGCATAGCCGCCAAATCCTATATTTTGAACTTTTTTTGTTTATAGGATTTTGTATTTGGACGGCGGCATTATTTTTTGCAGCAGGTTGCATAATGGTTGCAAAACAACATGAATTACCTCCTAGTGTTCAAAACAAGTTTTGCAAATGGTTTTTCCCAAGCATACATTTTTATAATTCTCATTCCAGTTATCACTTCGTTCATCAGCCGTATGCGTTCATCCGTAAGTACAGCTGTCATGCTTCTGTATTTCAAAAAGTAGCTGTTATATTGGAGTGCTATATCACAACATTGTATGGATGAAGCGGTAAATTTGTTTGAACATATCACAAAGAATGAACAAATAGTAGAAAATTAGTAGAAATTTTTCACTATTTAGTGAATAAAAAAAAAGTAGGTGGAAAAATCTGGTAAATTTTACGAAGTACCAATTTTTTTCTGTGATAGATGTTTAGTGATAGTTACCTGATTTTTCCGAATGCCCGTCCGCTGAATGTTTGTAAAAACATGATCAAAATCAAGACTCCCATTCCAGACAATACAGCAATTCCAATTTCTTGCCAGAGTATAATTCCAACAATTAAAAATTGCAAGGGTCCGACCCAGAGATAATGCAGAAAGCCAGGGAGCTAATTAAGAAAGAATATACATGTGTAATATGTACAAACCACTTTTCACACAAAAAGTTGCCAGTCATTAAACGATATGGGTCATTTTTATTTGAAGCGTGTCGATATGGAGTTGAAAAAAGCAGTTGGAGTCAGTATCTTTGCTGAAGTTTTTCAAAAGACGTCAGTTTTTGTTTTGTTACAAAGCTACATTTCTTACATTCATTTTATTTATTTTACATTTTATTTCTATTGAAAGTCATTAATATGATGAAAATTCAGTTATATATATATATATATATATATATTCAAAAAATTCAGATATGATAGATGATTGTTTGACATATACTCACCAAATCAAATCGAAGAACATCTGTGGCTCCAAGATTGATTATTTGACCTGTCGTGGTATCATTTAATGATTTCTGACTCAAACGGAGGGTCTGCAAAACGAACCCTTCAGATTCAATAAATTGATACCAGAGAGGTTTGCAATTATGAAAATGAATATCCGACAAGAATGTCGGAGAAAAAAATTCTATTCTCACACATTCTCACAATAGCATACTCCCGAATGTGAGGTCAGCCAGTAATAATACCCTTTGTTTATACGTGTTAGTGTTCCATTTAAATTTAAAGTAGAAAACATATCTATGAATAGACTTTGTACAAAAATGTATTACTACAAATAGGGGAAAAACAAGCCAATTCTTAGGAGAAGGTAATTGAACCTTCAAAGGACTCCGATGATAGTTTTAAGAAATAAAGTACAAGTAGGAGCTGTTATTGATAATAGAATAACCTCGATTAAAGCGGACAATACTATTCGTCAATTGAATGAAGGTTTTAAATTTTCGATGATTTAAAACGTTATTAATAAATACATTTGTACCTGGTATACAATATTGAAGATAGTTAGGATACTTTACAAAATTATCGATTATATGAAAGTATCCTACCTTTTTATACATTAAAGCGCAGGTTGATGCACGCATACGCCATCCAATTCTATGCGCTATGTAATGATATTGATGATGAAAAAAGGGTAATAATATTGTAAAGACACTTATTCCAGCGGCATAAGCATATGCATGCCAAACTGGAGTAACCGTTTGATTCTCGAAGTATTTTACGAGATATGCTATCAAGACTGGTACTGCTGTTCGAAGGCATTCCTAGAACAAATGAGTTGGTTTACATTTTTTTGAAACTTGATTATTTTAAAGTTGTATGTGTAACCCAGAAAACGATCTACACGCTTTAAAAAGATTTAATCTGCTTATGATCTTTTGTAAATATACAATAATAACTCTCAACTTGCAGAAATTTATTCACTACTCACTTCTATAAAAGCTAAAACACCACATAACACAAATCCTCTTCTATATGTCATTGCTACTGCTCGAATTAAACTCGGTTCAGTTGCTTTCTCAGATCTTTGAATTTCTTTCTCCCAATTTCTGAATAAAATTGACAGATGCAGTATTTTTATTGTGGCTTTGCAATATACAATCATGCTTGGTATTCCCCCGACTTTGTGTTTACACTACCACTTGCCCATCATCTGAGACATTGATATTGTACAAGAAATAAACTACTTTATTTTGTGCAAACGTACCTTTCCGAATCCCTTGTGATTTCTGCCGACATATTGGAAGCATCAAGTTCAAACATATCAGACTCTTGTAACGCCCGCTTGGATCCTTCAGCAAACAAGTCGTTCAACCACCTGATTGAATGTTGATGCTGTTACATTTAGCCATTGTATGGTTTTACTAATTTTTGTGCATATTTTGAATTAAATTTTTACACCACAAATGCAATTAATTAACATTCACATATTATATATCTTTTATTCTAATACCAAAAAATAAAAAATTGTTATTAAAGAACCTCTGCAATATGACTAAATGGACTAATACTTAGGAATGCGCTCGCCACCGCGCACCTCTGTTATGTGCGATAGGATTGCTGAACTCCTGCTGCCATAGGGTGGTTCACCTAACCGCTGGTCGGTTACGGCTTCCTCCACCACCAAGTCGGTGATCCGCAAATAAATAACTGGCTAACTTATTTCATACCCGACATGGACTGGTAACCGGACAAAAGGCCGTGGTTCGCCATTTGATTAAGCCGTATTATCGACTTTCCTCTCCCCCGGGATAAATATATAAATCCTATTCCATCTAATGACTATGGATATTTATACAACGCTTGGAAAATAGTCGTGTAAATATATTCATTTATTAATTGAAAGGACTCATTTTTATGAATATATATATATTCATCAGTCTCAAAAATTAGTAATTTTTTAGTAGTAATTTCATAGTAATATTTAAAGCGTAAACCGTAAGTGTTGAAGAAAATATTTATGACTATGCTTGAAAAAATGTCTCATAAGAATATTTATTCAACGTCTAATTGAACGCTAATCTCAAAGATTTACAATTTTTCATATCGTAAACCGTAAAAGTTAAAAAAATATTCTACTTACCAATAGGATAGGTAGGAAAATATATTTGCCCGAGACATTGGATTTGGTCGTAATTTCTTCATTTCTACAAAACATATACGCCTCAAGTTTGCTAAAGAATTTTACACTCTTTCAACCGATAACTGCAAGATATTGATTCAGAAGGTATTCTGTCGCCACAAAAACCCAATGTCTACTAAATGACGTTTGTTGCCTCACAACATTGGATACTTGATCTTCAAATCTCGTTTGGTTTGAAATTGAAAATCACAAGTCTGCAAACTGCCGCAACTATCATCCCGACAAGGTCACCCATCCATAGATTCAACGTCGCGTTTATTCATAAGAATATTCATTGAAATCGGTATGGTACAATAGGCTTGCTAGCTTATGATCGTAGTCTGTGCAAGTTGTATTCTAGGTTGCCACAGACTTTTGTGTCATTTGGACCATAACGAAATCTTATGTATTCCCGTTCACTGGATTCGACGGAGTGCTTTTCAAACTTGTTTCTTCCGCTTCTTGCGCTCGTCGTGTGCGATCACGCGCAGCATCGAGCTTCAATTTAGTGATGACAAAGTTTTTTAAGGTCCCCTAAACTCTCTCTTAACGTTCTTTTTTAGGTACTCTCGTAGTGTGTGTACCAGGTTAGGGTTAGGCCATAATTTTATTCCGATTTATCTTATTTTAGTTCTATTACGAGTTCGGCGACTGTCTTTGTTAGCCAAGTGAATATACCCCCTGTTCATATTTTCAGTCCCTTTACACAACTTGATGTAATAGGCGAACAAAATTAGTTCCCTCCATATTGGTCACACACTTCTGTAGCGCCCTTTTTTTGTTCATAGCTTACGCATTCTTACCATGTAATTTAGTCTATCGTTACCCGCTGGTTTTTAATAATCTGCTGCTGCATCCCTTTTTTCCACCCTAATTCGTGAAGATAGATAGCTAAATTATTGAAGACTGAGCTAATCTCAAAGATATATAAGTTTTCATATCGTAAGGACGTAAGCCCTAAATATTGAATTACTTACCAATATGATAGGTAAAAACATTGGACATTGGATTTGGTAGTAATTTCTTCATTTCTACAAAACTTCTATGCCCTTCAGATTGCTAAAGAATTCTACATTCATTCAACCGATGACTATAATATATTGATTTAAAATATATTGCGTCGATACAAAAACCTTGAGGCAGTCTAGTGAGGTTTGTTAAACCACGAAATGATTCTATCTGTATATAAAATTGTATACTTGATCTTCAGGTCGTGTTTGTTTTTGAAACGCAGCTTATTTCAAGCTTAATTCAAAGTAATTTATGCTGTTTTATGATTTTTACGTTGTGCTGATAGACTGATCTAAATCTGCAACTGCCATAAGAATACGTCCGCACAAGGTCATCCATCGATTCAGCGTCGCGCTCATCCAAATACAGCGGATTTTGTACAAAGATTTGTATCCAAAGTAATATGAAAAATCGAACTCTTCCTTAAAGAAGTGCAACACAGTTTTTGAATTCCTTCCCTCTCGGACTTTCAAAATGCGTTTTTAATTTTTTTTTCTGAAATATCAGTTGTTACTTAGTATGCACTCACATATTATCTCACATCATCGTATAGCAAACCTACTTTCATGACAAGTTAAAAACTCGTCTGGCAGGATTTCACAACATTCATTGTGCCTATTGCCATATAGTCTGTATTTTAGTCTAGGTCTAAGATATTCCGCACATGTTTTGATTCTATAACAATATGTGAACTGGCTTTAAACGTATTACTTGCTTCCTGCAAGAAAACCTGATCTTATATTTATTAAATTCAAACGCATTTATTAATTAATCAATACATTATCCGTGAATTGATGTTTGAAACAAATGACATGAACGTACGTTTTAATGAATAAAGGTATGAATTACGTCAATATGCGCGTACTGTAATATAACCCACGCATATACTCAAACATTCGTCAAAGTTCTCGTGTAGGATAGTGTTATTTTGTCACATCACTTTATATGAAACAAGTTTTATTGTCTATGTAGTGAAACCATTCGAGGAAAACTCATTTAGACTGTTTCTTGGCTTTTATTAACTTAAAGATTACTACTATACTAAAACAAGAAAAAGAACAAGTTACAAGATGTAGCAATCCTGACGCACGCTAACCAAATAAAACCTTCGCATTGCCACGAGACTATTAACGATGGTGCCACGTTGGCCACATTAGGTGGCGCTAATTCAATTTCATCACAATCACCCCACCCAGAAAGATCATGTATATATAACAGAATATAAAGTATGCACGAAAATTACAAAATGAAAATAGCACTTCGTACAATAAAGCTAAGAGATTCTATCTCCGTACCGATCCGGGCTCTTACGTATTCTACCAGAGCGACGAAGTTGAGGGCTTTCAGTATCTTCTACGGGAGTTTCCGAATTTTCATCCGAAGTAGAATTTAATTCATCCTGAGCTTCTGGCAAATCAGCGTCATTCAAATCATTTTGAGTCTCGGTTGGTTTAGCTTTAGATTGGTCGGGACATGGCGCCAAGTCTTTCACAGAAACTGTAGTTTGTCTTCCATCTGAGTGGCGTACCAGTGCATATTCGGAATTGGCATCCAATAGATCCACCACGTCGCAGAGAGGTTAGGTCTTTGTCCGAACGAATTTTCGAAGCAACACACTACCCCTTGAAAGTAGCCAATCGGGGAGCGATTTCCCAGGCGGCCTCTGGTAATTTTTGAGAAGCCAGAAGTAGCTTTATAGTCTTCCATAACGTTTGATTAATCCTTTCACACGGAGCATTTCCCGTTGGACGGTATGGAGTGGAATTGCTGTTAGCAACGCCCCTTTTTGCAAGAAACTCCGTAACATCTCTTGATAAGAATGACCGGCCTCTATCGCTATGTACGTATTCAGGTCATCACACCAGTGAAAATAAGGAAGAAAGGCACTGTATCACAGTTGTAGAAGTCATATCTTTACAAGGATAGGCAAATGAAAAACGACTGTATTCGTCAACAATTATCAAAATATACTGCTTTTTACCACAAACGGGACCCTTGAAATCAATGCTGATTCGTTCCAGCGAACGAGTTGCTCTAATTCATGCTTGTAATTGCCTTTAAAATATCGCGGCTTTAGCTCCGCACATTGCAAATGTGCAGTTGGAGCAAATGTGTTTTACATCTTCAGTAGAGAAAGGCAGATTCTTAGATCTGATGAAATGTGACAATCTCCTAACACCCGGGTGACCAAGTTGTTCATGAATACTTTTGAGGTCAAAATCAGGATTGCCAAAAAGGCAACTTATTCGAGACATAGTATCAGGGGCTACATTATCAATCCCGGCTCGATGAACAACAGTATAATTGTAGCAACTAAGTTCCAATTTCCACAATGACAATTTAGTGTTTTTAATTTTGCTTTTACGTTTTTTTTGTAAAATGAAAGACAGGGCCCGTTGATCTGTAATTAAGCAAAACTTTCTACCATGTAACAAATAACTCCATTTTCTGACTGCTTCTATAATAGAAGCAGCTTCTTCCTCAATTGAAGGGTACTTTATTTCACTTTTAGATAGTGTACGGAAGTAAAAGCCACCGGACGACCACACTGATTTAAAATAGCAGCTATTGCGTTATTAGATACATCACACTCAATGGTGAAAGTCTTGCTTTCGTCTATACTCCCGAGACAGGCATTTAGTAGATCGCTTTTCAAAATTTCAAAACATCTCATAGCATTGTTTGAAAGTGGAAACCCCGATTTTCTAGTCAAGGGAATTATTTTATCAGAAAATTTAGGAATCCATTTGGAATAGTAAGCAAACATTCCAAGGCAACGCTTTAAACTCTTAGAATCACGAGGAGGCTTCATGTCGATCAACGGTTTAAAATGCTGAGGATCCGGTTCAATAGTGTTATGCGATACTAGATGACCCAACAGTGATAGTTCAGTAGCAGAATAAACGGATTTATCTTGGTTTAAAGTTAACTCACAATCTTTGGCAGCAGAGAGAAATGCTTTCAGTCGTTCATCGTGTTCTTCCTTGTTCGTACCATAAATAGTGACATTATCCAAGTAAGCCAAAGTTCAAGTCGTATTTGGCAATGATAGAGTCAATATACCGCTGGAATGCAGCTACACCATTAGTAACACCAAATGGAAGCCTGCAAAATTGATAAAAAGAGCCAGAAGCTTCAAATGCAGTTAAAGGTCTATCACTTATTGCTAATGGCACTTGGTGGTAAGCCGATTTCAAATCTATAGTAGAAAATACACGTTCTTTAGCTACCTCATTTACTATCTCGTCAATTTTGGGCAATGGGTAGGCGTCTAAATAGGTGTATCGATTTATCGTTTGAGCATAATCAATTACGAGACGTTTCATATGCCGGGCATCTTTGCTCACAATAACTTGTGCTTTCCATGGGGATCTTGAAGGCTCTATACCTCCCTCAAGAAGACGAGATATCTCGCTTTTAATTAATAAATCGACGATCGTTTAAACAATAATTTCTAGACGGAGCTGTTATCGGTTTGCAGTTCGGTTCAATAAACTGAAAAATCTGAATGGGTTCACTAACATTTGCAGCAGTTAGGTTACAGGTTTTCTCGACATTTAGATCCTCATAAGAGTCATCAAACCAAAATATAACTCTTCTGTGCTTGCTCATGAAGTTATGCCCCAATATAACATCCACACACAAGTTATTTATTACGCCAAAGTTGACATCTTTGTATGTTCGGGAATTAGCCTTAATATCGGCTGTAACAGATCCCAATATACGAGCTTCGGACTTTTTTGATGCTAGTGAAATTTTAGACATCGGTCCTTTTAGAGTAAGCCCAAGAGAAGACGCGAAATTGCTAGCCATATAATTATCAGAAGAGCCCGAGTCGAGAAGGGCATCAACTTGCCTGCCAGAGATTATTGCAGAAACAGAAGCTAGTTTTAGACTGCTAGGTACAACAGCAGCTAAATGTGGGTTTTCAACTTTGTCACGATTTTCATTAGAAGATCTACATACTCTTGCGAAGTGTCCACGTCGACCACACTTGAAGCAATACACATTTCTGGCTGGGCAATTTTGACGTTTTAAGCGATGCACACCTCTACAATAACCACACCTTTTGACAGCAAAATCGAAGTTTGAAGTTCTCAATGTCCCTGCTATGGATTTGAAATTGTCATCACGTCTTTCCTCTGTGTCTGATACAGTTTCAGATGTTTCTTTTTCTGACAATGTGGTCATTAATTGGTCATTCGCACATTCTTGATAGGAGTTGGCAAACTTTTCGGCTCTCTCTGATGAATCTGCAATCTGAAGAGCTTTGTCAAGTGTTAATACTTCGTGCTCCAACAACCGTTGACGAATTTCGGCGGATTTCAATCCAGTTATGAAAGCATCTCTTATAGCTTCTTCTCTATACTTATCAGCAGATACGGCTTCGAAGATGCAGTCTTTAGCTAACGAAGACAATTGTTGGAAAAATTCTGTCACGCATTCGCCACTTCTTTGCTTATTAGTCGCCAATTTATGCCTGGCAAAAACGTCATTTTTCTTCTTCTTGTACAACTTCTCTAATTTGGCCATAGCAGTGTAATATGTTGTTATTTCTCCAATATAAACAAACACATCAGGAGACATGTAGCCCACAAAAATTGCCAATTGGTCAATCACAGGCAATGTTGTTGTCGTCGGCGACGAAGATGAAGCTCTAGCAGTTTCTGCAGAATTTAAAAAGCGCTTGATCATGCGTTCCCAATGACTGAAAACCTTTTGAGCATATGGCGAATTCGGCGGTGTGTCCAAGACTGGTACACGGATAAACTTTTCCAATTGTTGAGCCATCACGCTTTGCAGTGGTAAAATCGAAGCTAATTTTCAAGTTAATAAAATTGTAGTGAAACCATTCGGGGAAAACTCATTTAGACTGTTTTCTAGGCTTTTATTAACTTAAAGATTACTACTATACTAAAACAAGAAAAAGAACAAGTTACAAGATGTAGCAATCCTGACGCACGCTAACCAAATAAAACCTTCGCATTAACGATGGTGCCACGTTGGCCACATTAGGTGGCGCTGATTCAATTTCATCACAGTCTAATTACGGAAGTTATCTTCGATGGTAGGCTTTTGAATATTCTGTCAAACTTGTCTTCAAAATGATAGTTATACGAGCTGTATAGCTGCAGCGCAAAGCTGATGCAGCACACCCAATGATATGGTTTATTCTGCTGTACCGTTGAACAAATTGACACTCTTCTATCATAACATATATAAGCACGAAGATCCAATGACTGCATTATTGGTAATCCGCTATCTGATCATCGACTCAAGCCATGAAAGGCAACCTTCGGGTTCAAGTGCAATTATGTAGTTTACGCTCGGTTTTCATTGTTTTGCTTAAACGACATATTAAATGAATTTTAAACTAAAGTACTCAAACTTTAAATCTGGTCAAACCAAACATTTTCGGCGATTCAACCCGAGTTCTTTTATTGCATTTGATATTTTGTATATGACTATCTATATCAGGGGTATGTAAAATTTTTGTCAGCAGGCAATAAAATCAACTTCAGACATCTAGTTGGGCCACACAAAAAAAAAATGTTTTTCCATGTACACAACGAATTGAATAAGTCACACAATGCAAAATTTTATTTATTCAACATTTTAAAATTATGCTCAGAGCAAATTTAATCAGCAACTCCAAGTAATATATTTATAAAATTAGTGATTTTAAAATTTTTATACGAACTACTTGTTGTGTTGGTGAATTGCCGCTATATGTTGATCAAGAGCTATGACTTCATTGTCAAGCGCGTTGCGTTGGGGACATTCTTGAAGAACATTCGAATAGTGAACCTGGTCGCGCTAGCATGTCTCTCACTGGATCTACTCTAATAGACTTTTTAGTCAACTTGTAGAATTTGCGTGCTTGCCGCAATTATGCATTATAAATAAACACTACACTAATGAAGTCCTACCAAATGTATCACATCGTATACCTCTACAAATTGAGGAACCGACATAGTAAGACTTCGGCTAAAACTATCTGCAATTACGGGGACACATCTTGTTTTTTTTATTGGCATTTGAGAGTTTCAAAACCTCGACCTCGAATTTCAAATTCTCGGTTCAGACGGTCACGTGGGAGAGAGCCAGTTTACAATTAAGACAAACATTGTCCTACATTTGCTTTAGTATTGTGGCGAGGACTAATATATTCCTAGGATAGTTCAGCAGCTACCTAAGGCGCCTTTTGGCAAAGAATACAACATCGACTCATTTTAATAAGCGCAGCACATAGCTGTAGAACGGTCGGAAACGTGTTTTTCAATTTTTCTATTATTAAAAAAAATTAATTAAAATTATTAACGACAACCAGAGCGCCAAGAAGAGAGAATGCGGCTATAACCAACCAAGCCTTATCGCTCAGCGACAAGTGAAAGGAACGATTATGTATTTCACCCATGTGAGCGTTTTTTAAGCATAAACTGTCGGATTAGAATTTTAACCTTGATGGAAAAGGCTGAGGGTTGACAAGGGCCATACTAAATGTCGCCGGGTTTGGACCCGCGGGTCGCCTGTTAAACGCCCTTGATAGTTCAGAGCTTACCATACAACAAATTTTGGATATTGCGGAAATGCAGGGCACGGTATGATTGTATTTAATTTTAAAGTAAAAATATTCTTCAGGAATAACATTCTAAATTTTGAACAGCCCGTTGCCTCTAACATTTTCCTTAAAAACATTTCGGAAGGATTTGGGGTTTTTTCAACAATTATATATTGACCTTTCGTTAACTTTTATATCAGGCCTCAAGTCTGGCGAAAAAATTTTAAACGTTCGTGACTAAAAGTACATAAAGTTAGTAGTATAAATAAAGTAGATCGGATATTACAGAAACTTTCCACTCGAACTTTTTAATCTAATCAATAGCTTGTAACCTATTGACCTTTATCTAAAGTGATAGGCATTTTACTTTTCACTTTTTTCGAAGTACGCTCAAATTTGACTCTGGGCAAACCACAAAATACTGATAATTCTACCCCGACTTCTATTATTGGATGTTACAGATTGCATGTAGTTTATGCATATGGTACTCAGTTTGTTGTGAGCTTTGATATGTTCTCTTGCTTTGCCTTTGTATTTTCGTAAAATTTTACCCGAATATGCTCATCGTATCATTTACTAGTTTCCTTTATCTTCACATAGAAAAATAATCACGTGACTTTCTTTACAACGGCAATTGATAACACTCACCATTAATCGCTCTATTCTATTTTTAAAGTAGCCAATGTCATTTTTTCCTAGCTTCTAAAACGTGTTTATAGTATGATTGAATTCCCAGTTTGAATGAGAAATGTAATTCGTAACAAAATTGGTAACTGCATGGTTATATATCGTACTAATCAGTCACATGGTAGATCACGACGGTAAATATGATTAACAATATAGAAATATTTTTATTTCAACATCAGAGTCTATTCCAAAATTCAAAATATAATTTTGGGTTCCGATTTGGGAGTCGGAATCTTAGTTTGAAAAATCAAGTCCTCTTAATAATTCGTTCGAAATCATGCAATACATCAGCTCATTAAATGAAAACATTGATTTATGTACAAATCATTAATGTTAACTGCGATGTAATTAAATGCAATTACTTTCGGTCATAAAAGATTGTTTCAGCGCTATCGTTGGTTTATTACACAACTTGAGCGGCATGTATAGGTTTATAGATTAAGCAAAAGTAAGATAGCAATTTATAATAATTCAAATTTAAGAATATTTGATCAGCTTAGCTCAGGCCTTTAATAGGCGAAGGGCTTTGTTAATCTATTCAGAATTTAACAAAATTATGTTTCTATTGTTGTAATATTTTTCAAAAGCAGACAAATGTGGAATATAAGTTGATTGTGTAAGTTAAAACGGTTGTCATTTTGGTTACTCACAGTATTAATAAAAAACGTCACAAACAAATATACTGATCGAAATTGTTTTCTACTAAAGGCTACTTAAATGTGAACTATTGTTAGATTGCTTAAATATTAATCTTTGTTGTTATTGATAAAATGTTTCGACGTATATACTATATTATTACTTCAACCTAGTTAGATTGATCAATATGTATTAATTACATCGTGATTATTTGAAAATATTGGTATGAAATCATCAGTGATCGCCAGTGTCACTCAGAAAGTTTTGGTTTAAAAATCAGTCCACACAAATAAATGATATTGTTCATTCCTGTTATTTCACTTTAGAAATGAGCGAGAGAATTTAGGACAAATCAACACAAGCCAAGTTTATCAGAGAAAAGCTGCGTCACTGACATTGCCATGGATCGACAATTGGTCCGCAACCAGTAATTTGAAGGCTTAAAATGCAATTATGCGAGCGCAGTTAGTAAATTGTTTTCCGGTCAACAAACCAATGTCGGATGCAAGTCAATTATTTTATTCACAACTTAAAATATTTATTCATAAAGAAATATCCAACCACATAGTTCAGTGCCAAAGCACAAACAAATAAATAAAGCCTTAAGGCAAAATGAGTGGCAATTTAATAATGCAATTACCTAACCACAGATGTGAAAATAACTACCTCCGAATTTATTTTTATGTGGGAGAAAAAGTAGAAAATTACCACCATTGGAGAGTGTATAATAGACCTGTTCTTGATGTTACATGATATCCATTTTAGAGCGACTGTTCATGAAAATGTCAGATATTTTTCACATAACTACCAGTGATTGTTGCTACATTTGTATAGTGTTGAGTAAATATGGATCTTATTTCAACCATTCCATATTTTTAGTTGTTTGAGTCGAATATATTTACTTAACATACGCTGGCTGAAAAACGTTAATTTTGAGGTTTATTGCTTTTTCAGAGCTGCATACAGCTGCATTTTCCGAGCTTTGGATTTATGAAGAATTATTGACATTTAATTGGTGTGAAGAATAATGTTCGCACGTAAATGCAGGTTAGAGTATGATAACGGTCATTTTTCCCAGAAATAAAACATTTTTCAGCATTCACAATCTGAAATTTAAATTGCTTGGCTTGATGTTTTCCTAAAATGCATTTCGGAAAGTTTTGGGTGGTTTTTACTAATTATAAATCGATATTTTGCTGACTTTTATTTTGTGTCTCAAACGAAAAATTTTGCACGTTAGTGACCAAAAGTACATACATTTAGTAGTATAAATATAGTAGATATAGGATATGACGAAACTTTTCCTGTCAAACTCTCTAGATCTAATCAATAGCCTGAACATATTGACATTTATGGGAAGTGACTAAGCATTTCAGAGTGACCGATTACCATTTTCATAACGTTCAAGTTGGTATATCAAAAGTTTTCATTCACTGGATATAAATACTGCATAAATTAGAGCTGATTTGAAGTTTGTTATGCGCTCAATTGATCGCCGCTGATTTTGTTTCGACGGAATTAAGTGTCTCTCATTTTCTAATTGTCATAAAAGCAGAATTAAGCATTCCTTTCATTTATGCTAACACGCTAATAAGACCATGCTTAATGTTGTGAAAATAACCAATCGGGATTAATAATACTTTCCGGTCACGCACTTCCAGCAATGACACATAATAAAAAGTTTTCAGTAAATTTACCGGCAAATATTTGTAATGAATAAAGTGTTAGCTATATATAGAAATTGATTCTACTATTCGGTAGACAGATAGTATTGCGCTATAGCTGTAGCATATTTAGATACGGGATTTGCGAACCAAGTGATTCTGCTTCTATATCAGTTCTGTAATGATTTACTTTCTATATGAGTTTTTTTTTAACAATCACGAATGATACTTTGCTGACTATGTGTCATTACATGATTTCTAGTCAAATTATTTCAGTATTATTTAAAATAATAACACGTTATAGCTTTGTTAATGATCGAGACTTATTGCTGTAATCAATATTGATCGTCTGGGACATATTAGGGTTGTTTCAGTAAGACGCATATTGAACAAAGAGTTATGGTAAATGAGCTGTTGAGATCTAAGGACCTGAAAAGTGTTGATCTAAATACGGCAAAGGAGGTTTAAATGTTTTGAAGTTAGGGAGATAAAATAGTCAGTTATACATTGTTTTCTGATTGAACTAGGCCTAAAAGTTAAATCTTAGGCGTTTTCTTGACTTCAGAAACATACGATTGGCAATTCTTGTTGCAGGCTTATTTCGAAAGCACTATTCATAGCATCGCTATTGTGTATACATCTTTCGTCAGTCAATTTTTGGCTTGCGTTTGTTTTTGATAAAAAATGCTTGTTATTTGTAAAGGTATCGCCAGAATTGTGTCGCACATCCTGTAAAACATTCGACTCATTTCATGATGTTGGTAGGTACAAGCGGTTTCTTCTCATAGCCGCTTACAATTTTGATTGTTCATTATTCTTTCTAAGTACTTATTATGTTGTTACCCCACAAAGAAGAGATTTGTATGAATATCAAAAGATTAGATTTCACGAGGGCTTGAAACAACTCTTTGTTACACGAATAATAACTCCCCAAGATGCGTTTCTTACAAAATACTGCCCCTGAATAAATTCTGTACGGCACACAATTTGGCATATTATTGGAAAGTTTTTGGACATAATTTAGCATATTCTGGGAAGCTGAACTTTTGAACGTCCAATCAAGCACTCTCCTTCACAAAAAAAAATCATATCTTTACTAAGTATCTTCAAAAATACAAATTTGTACAAGAAAGAACGTCGATCAGTTTGTAAGCTTGACATTCTATTTATGTTTCTGAGCATTCTTTGTTCTCAAAAATACTATGTATATTGTTGTTGTTGTTGTTATATGTTTTATGGCGCTTATAACTTCTGTGGTCTTTTGCGCCATTGATCAATTCGAATTGAAAATACTGTGCTAACATATTATACAATGTTTTCAAATAAATATTTATACAATCAAATCAATTACAATAAGTATCTAGTCCTAAATATTTCTGCCCGTAGACAAAATAAATTTAATAACAGTTTCAATAATGTCCCTGTTACTAAGCACTTCTTCCAAAGTTGGTTCCAATTTAAATTTTCTGGCTTTGCGAATGACTGGAATTCTCTGTTAATTATATTGCTGACAACGCAGTAGAATGTGGGCTACGGCCTCAGGTACAAAACACTGTTCGCAATATCTGTCGAAATGACAACCAATTTTATGTAAATGTGCATTCAGGGCGCAATGGCCAGTTTGCAATCGAAACAAAAGAGCTTGATATTTGCGTGATGAGGTTTCGTTTTCGAGTCGTGACATTGCGGAGGGCAAAATCATATTTCGTCAAAAGTGTGTTTGCTTTTAAATTGAAATAGTGTTTAGGACTGACAAGGTGGACAAAAGGGCAAATAGATTCGTTACCCCTGCTTCAGATACTAATACGATAATCTCATTTGGGCGAATGCTTTTTGTTTCCATAATTTCCATTTTACACCATTTCTATAAATTCATGATAATTTTCATTTTAATGTATATATGTGATATAATGATATTATATTATATTCAATTGTCATTATAGAAACGCGATCATTTCCGTTTTGTATTCTGAAAGTACTTGAAAAAGCGCTTGCCAATTGAGCTATTTCTGTACTTCCTTGGTTCCCCAAAACGCTGCATACTTCATGACTTACTTTTCAAAAAAAGTGTTTTTGCTTTCTATTGAATAAATAAAAGTTTTTCAATGCATGACTGAACTTGTGTGACCCGCTTACTCAACTGGGACTGAGAGAGCCTCTTGCAATGACGAATAGGTTCATTGCACCTGCTCCAGATACTGATAGAACAATCTCATTCAAGCATTGCAAATTATTAAATGCTTTTTATAAATTTCATTTTAAATCATTTCTATAAATTCATGACAATTTTTTTTTTATATATGTGATGCAATAATATTATGATATAATAATTAATTGTGACTATCGAAACGTGAACATTTCCGTTTTGTAATCTAGTAGTACGTAGAAAGCTTGCCAATTGAGATAATTCTGTATTATATCATACATCATCTTGCTTCATTTATGACAATACATTTTAAACAGTTCAAAAGTTTAAATTAAAATTAATTTAAACTAGCAAATCGTGTAAATTAGTTTCATTTTCAACATAAACTGTCACTGAAGTATGAATAATATTTCCGTGTACTGTATAACTTTAGAATGCGATGTTGAATATATAGACAACAATGAAATTTTAAAATAAAACGAAATTTTGAGAAAATATATTCTGCTGCCATTTAACTTACAATTACTTGAAACAGCTAAGACGGATGAAGGCACCGAGATAGGAAATATCAGGTTGTCATAAATAGGTGAAATGGGTACAGGTTAAATGCAGAGTCGGTCGAGGTGGTATTTTAACACGAAGTCGAACAGAAATAAATTCATAAAGCATATATATCAATCCCGGACGACATGTGACATTTTATCGGTTTGTCGACGTCTTAATATTTTGAGCTTCAGTTGATTGAGGAAAGTTTGAGGACCGCAGTTGCTCGAATAATATATATGGATGTAAATTTGAATGTTTTTTCAAAGTGCAGTTAATCTAGATATGAATCCTATGAAATCGTAGGAATATTTTATACATAAACCCCACTTTAGTCGCTTTATTTTATGGATAAATATTAGTAATATATAATCAAAATTCCGTTAAGTTAATATTATTTAATGATGGAACAAAATTAAACATTTTTGAAGTAATTGCAATATTTAGAAATGGTTTGATATTATAAAAATATGGAAACAAAATGGGAAATTAGTTTAGTCTTGTTGATCATTGTCTGACATTTCACTAATGCATTTTATAGGCCAAAATTTAACATTTTTGAATGCAGTATTTAGAAATGGGTCGATATTATACGGATAAGGAAATTTAGTTTTAAGTTTTGTTGATCATTGTCTGACATTTCATTTGGGCATTTCAGTTCGGAATTTTACAGAAAATATTTGCAAATTATAGTATCGTATGGTAAGAAACCATGTCGACAAATTGTCGATACGAATTTCAGTTAAAGCACTTTGGATTTAAAGATTGCAAACCAAGAAGATTTCAAACTCTTCAGGTTGGTTTAAATTTGTTACAATTAATTTGTAAGCATGCGGTATATCCAGATAAGAATTACTTTGTGCCTAAACCTAACAAAGATTATTCATAGAAAAGTCTTCTTGAACGACAAAGTTGTTCAAAACTTCAATTGAGTTTCCTTAGAAACAAATAGTTTTTTTTAAATTATATTGCAAAATCGTAAAATATATAATTTCATTTTCCCCGTAATTTACAGTGGTCGCGAAGCAAATTTCTTTTCGTCATTTATCGTCTCTTTACCTTCACGTTTCAACTGGGATGGATGATCGCCGGTTGCATTGGAAGATCAGATTCATACTTTTTCAAACTATCAAACTGGTGCATGTTCTATAGCACAATATATTATGGATTTGCCTGTATTTCTGCAATCCATGGTTTGTTTGTCAACAATGAAAAAAATGAAAAAAAGAAGTCATCAGCTACATGTGGATATTATAACAACGCTCTTACTCAAAGTACAGAGGAAATTAAAAAAAGAAAATTATCTATTTCTGAATCAATTGATGTTGAAGCGACACAGAATATTGAATCAGATAACGGTATATGAGTTTATAAAATAAAACGTTTATGATTTCACGCTCCATTTTATCTTTTTGAAATCGGTATGACTGTGAAAAAATGTAGTAGTAATATTTTAGTATTAATTACAACAGTTTTATCTTTGTGTGTGCGGTAGTGCGAGCTTTTAGTGAGGTCCATAAAATAGTTTAATTCTTAATATTTCACCGTTTTCTATGCAGTCCTGTCAAATCCTGTTATCTTTTTCTGAAAGTACTGTAATTTATTTTTATCAGACGATCTTCGTTGGTTTCACAAAATCACCTGGATATTCCATACAATAGCATTTGATACCGTTGTTCTTGTGACAGCTGTATACTGGATTGCAGTTTTTCCAACTGAAGCTAAAGAAGATCAAGATATTCACGGCTATGCAAAACACGCTATGAACATAGGATTACTTTTTATAGATATGCTGTTTGTCAACACACCCGTGCGATTTTTACACACAATATACATGATCCTTGCATGTGTTTGTTACTCCGTTTTTCTTGTAATTATTCACTTTGTTGGACTAGAATCATCTGTTTATGGTTTTACAAATTTTGACGAAAATCCGGGTTTAGCAGCTGGCGTTTTGGCTTTAGTAACTTTCGTTGGATCATGGATTTTTCATTCATTATGGTTTGGAATTTACCATTTCCGATGGTTCTTGAGTAGGTCTTGCCATGTTGAATGAAATTAAGGAAAAGACTGCTGTTTACAGGCGGTCTAATTTATTTTGCAATCTCAAAATAGTTGAATTTCGAGTGTTTCAACGCTATTTTTTTTAAGAAACAGCATCAGTACTTCAAACAAGATTAGAAACTGTATAACACAAGTGAAAATAAAACCTCATTTATGATTTGATTTATTTGTTTTATTAATCACTATGTTTTTATTTCGTTAGAACCGCTTTTGCTGTATATGATTAAAACACTTTGCGATTTGAAATGATTTGTATATATAAGATATTTTATCCAATTCAATAAATTTTGAATAAATAAATTATATTTTACAAGTCTAAAGAAGTTTAATCAAGATAGGATGATGGTTACTTAAAGTTCGTTTTGATTTTTTATAATTATCACGTAACAATATTTCAAATGTGGGAACGAATCAGCGAAATTTTAATGCGCATGAATGTGGGAGAAAGGCATATATGACCCAGTCTGGGTGTAGATTCCATGTCCGAGTGGTTACGTACTTCACACTGCTGATGAAAGCACATTGGCCAGAATGCTAGGGGTTCAATACAGTGTATTTTGCGGATGTTTAACATGGAGGTAATATGTGGTTATTATTTGCTGTCTTATTATCACTGGAAATGTCACATATGTATTCGCAGTGACGTGGTTGGAAAATAGTGTCACATAACAGGCCAATAAAAACTTTAATTACAAAAGGCAATAAGAACTTTAAAGCAGTTTGTTGCCATTTAATAGAGGTCAAATATCTAAAGGTCAAATATTCTGTTTCTTTTTTTTTTATTTAATATCAATAATGTGATAATCTTTAATGGCGCGGCGTGACTTGGCAAAACCGAAAATGAAGGTTTCCATCCGGACTAGACAATGATAAATATGGGTTGTATGTGAGCAGACAAAATAAACCAAGCAGCCATGAGTATATTTCCATAAATTTTGAATACAAATACTGAGAAAATAAAATATGAAAAATATGGAGTTCAGACACTTGATAAACAAAGATTCATGTTTTTGATTGAATAGTTGAAAAATAGAATTTGTGGTTAAAAGGAATATTATATGGGCAGTTCTAAGTCATATTATCTAAGTCTAGACTCATAAGTAAAGAGCTACTATTTTTAGAAAATATCAATATTTCCGGATCCTTTCGTCTTCACAATTTATTACACACTGGGCCAAAGTGGTTAAAATGGTTATTGAGCACTATTTGCAGTAAAAAATTCAAACAGCCTCAGCAAATATTTTAAATCAATGGGAAAAGATTTTAAGATTCATTATATTCACGGAGTAATTTCTTACTCAGAAAGGAGCACGGGTGCAATTCATGCACGTGTGATAGTGTGAGTGCAATAGGCACTCAGGCAATCGGCATTCTTACTTGCGATTTTTGCTTCGTAAAACAAAACACAGTATGAATACATAAACTCGATTAATTATCCACGGCAGCTCATCATATGTCTGTATCATTTTGTATATTTCCTGAAGCTGTCATGATATCGATGAAGAGTCAACAAATATTCATATTTCGCAAATTATAAGGCATTAAAATTAGTTTCATCATATTCCTAAGGCGAGTATAATTCAGTCCATACGCATCTAAATTTTTAAAGAAATGTATTTGACTTGATTTGAAGAGGACATTTGTAAATAGCAACTAATTAAATATTTAAACTAATTATTCTACCCCTGTAAAGGATAAGACTTTCATATATATCCCGGGGAGAGTAACGCCGATGATAACGCTTAATCATATGGCGTATCGCGACCTCTCGTCTTGTTACCAGTCCATGTCGGGTATAGGATTCATTAGCCAGTTAATATTTGGTTGTATGGTCGTTAAGGTAGAGGAAGCCGTAACCGACCAGCGGTTACGTTAAACGCCCTGCGGCGGCGAGGAGTCCAGGAATCCTCTCGCACATAATTACCCTCTCACGGGATTCGAACCTGCAAACCAGCGTAGGGTAATCAGAGGTGCGATGTCAGGCGCATTCCTGACGCTTAGCACGATGTATGAGTACAATGAAATGTATGAAACTTTGGACATAAAAAATATATTTATATAAGTTTCTGCATTTTCCAATTCGCGAAATTGACTCGATAAATATAAAAATAGGAATTTATCAACATTATGAAACGCCCTTTAATATACATTCAAGTTAAAAATATCAATGCGGTCGCGACTGACAAGAATTTCGTAGTTTTCTCACTTACTACCCGACAAATAACTTATTGGAAGTGTATAATGAACTTTTTAGAACGTTGTGAAAATACTGACGTCGAATAAATGCAGCTCTTGTATTTTGTGTGTCTTCTTCGTGTTGCCCTACTAGCAAATGAAAATTATGAAACAAACAATGGATACATCCAACCCAAACTAGAGGATGCCGTTTGGAACATGGTAATCCGTCATAATAAATATTCAGTGAAGCAAGAATCGACGACTTATAGGAGCAATATTGTGCAATCAGAAGAAGTCCATTCTGTAGTCGAGTTTTATACTGTACGAGGTTATACGTGATGACTTACACCCAACAATCGTAATTTTGAAGTCTGTGTAATAAATCAGTCCGAGTTGCTCTCGATCCTATTACCTACTGATTCTAGTCGAAGATTTCGATGTAACTGTACGTCAGAAAGGGTTGGCCAAAACCTATGAATTTGAATGGTGGGGTATTATACTGCTACCAATGAGAGTTTTAAAAGTTGAAAGGTTTTGATAGCAAACTTACCGTACGATACATGTTGTTTATACTGTGGAGCAATTTGCCCATTAACGTTATAAAATAAATTCAGACGAGAACTAGAAGCGACTAATTTGATTGTATTGATTGTAAGTCAAGTTGAATAAAAAAATTTTTTGATAGTTACTTAATGAGTGGTACCAGATATTCAATCTCGGCGATGTCTTTATGAACGAAGTTCCGTGCTGGTCGTTCACAAATGCCAAAGAAACGTCAAATGAAACGTTTACATCGATTTCAAGCACATTTACACAACATTAATAATTACACAATATCACATTAATTAATATTTTCTATTATAATCTACCAACGCATTTTAATTTTTTAGCTCGCTGTTGGGTGCAAGTTTCTGTACATATGAATTAGTAAAAAAAAGTATTTAGCCCACGATTTTTTCTTCATTCAATTTCACTTAGCTACATTAATTAAAATTAGTCACTGCTAATCGCCTGCTATTATTTCTTTCCAAAGAAGATTTAAATATGATTTCGTAACTGTGCATTGGTATACAAGAGGAAACTTCATTGACAATCTGAACCCGAAATATGGCATTCCTGACATTTTTCTACACAATAATAAATTTTCTAATGCTACATTTATCTTATATGTATCTATATATATCTAGAGTTCTTAGCGCCTGATGCTGCAAAAAAGATAGGACAAGGAAAGGCCGCCTTAAAAGGTAAAAAAGTAGTTGTAAAGCCAATCAAATAATTATTAGGAATTGACTCAATCAAATTGTATTACTGAATTATAGCGAAATACCCTTGTTATTTTTTTTACTAAAAACAAAAATATATTTTTTCACAGAGATTGATTGCTGGTATCGTACTGAAGTAGATGTCACGTGTCAAATTACAAGAATACGTAATGTGGTTTCAATGTTGTAAAGACGGCAAGCTTAAAACTATTTGGGATTCTTATTAAAGGTGGGCCATCGCGAAACAACTAGTGTGATGAATTTGATTTAAATAATGTATAAGATTTTTGTCGTGTACCGCTTACTTGAAGTGGACTTCGTTTGTGAGACTCGAATTTTTGAATATCAACCCTGCAGAAATTGACAATTAGTATGACCTATTAATGACTTAATGCTGAGAACCAACCAGTGTAATTTTGCTTCGGGTTGAGGTCACCTTTAGTGTTCCGTGTTCTCGTATTGCATAGTATGCTAGTTCTATTTGGCAAACGCTGCAGTGGGTTTGAACACATATCAAAGTTTCAGAATAACAGTTCTTTAAATATCATTGTCAGACAGTCAGAACCGTAACGTGTATTACATAAAACGACATCGCTTCATTGCCTGAATGTCTGAGCTACCTATACAAAGCATTTCTGTTTTACATTACATTGCTGATTTATATTTACGAAAAGAAGTGACGAGTAACTAGAATCATATACTTAAACAGAGGTTAAATACGTTAATCGGGAATACACCATAAACACAAGTTATTGATTGAATTCTCAATACACTATGTCATCAAAGGCCGTTTCTTAACTGCTGCCGATTTTTGTTTTGAAGTGGTATTTCAAAATCCATAAGCAGAAAACTAAGTCGTTTTTATTTAAATAGTAAGTGTGAAAATTCTGCAAAAATATATAAAATCACATACATCAAAAGTCTGTTCTGTGATGAACCACCATTAAGTGATTTCGGTTACCAGAATAAAAACAAATGAAGCATCAAATACAAATAAGCAATACACGACAAGGCAGAATAGGGATGAGAAAGTCTATTTTTTCAAAGACTGGTTTTAACTCGGGGTCTTTTTAATAATATTTAAAAGGAAAGGCATGACTTGATTCGTGTCAGTGAAACCACATGATTTGAGCCACAATATAGAGCAAGTATGCATTTTACGTTGCTGGTAAAAATAGATTTCAAATGTCTTTCTACTTGATATTACCTCGTCGTATAACGAATCGAGTAAATCAATTGAGATTAGATTTTATTTTTCAAATCTGTGAACTAGTCTTTAACCTTATCCTTCAGTAGACTTACTCGTATTTTTGCAATGATTTTGAGATTTCCAAATGTCAGTAAATATGTTACATCGTAATGTTACTATCTCGTAAGATGCAACTACAAGAAAAAATTGGAGAAGATGGAAATTCCAATTTACATAATGAGAGTAATTATTCGTTAATGTTTCAGGTCAGCAGTATACAAAAACCACACAGCTCATAGCAGAGAATATTTTGTTGGTACATAATATTGGTGAAATCGGTGAAGGATGAGATAAAGTACCACTACAGTTTGCCAAATGCGCCCAATCCAATATCCAGTGATATTTTCAAAATTGACTGTGTGTGAATGCATCGATATAAATGGCAGGTACATGTACTTACGATTACAGATATCACGCCACAGAATAAAAGTAGCAAATTAAGTGGTTTGATTCGTTTTTATATGATTTTACAGCGGAAAGGCAAGATAAATTATAGGTAGCATCACATGGGTATCAGACATAAAACATTTTGAATTAATATCTCGTGAACCGTAAATCCTAACTAATTCGTTGATTCGTAGCAGTCTCTAATATGTCTGATCTAACGCATATATTTGGCATTATTTTGCTCACTTCAAAATTCTTACACCAATCGATTCGTATTTTAGAACGATCCCATAGTCATTCTACTCGGTCAGTCTAAAGTTACTAGCCAACAATAATTTAATAGCAGGCTACTCTTTCGCTCACGATATCTGCTACAAAACGGGGAACAGAATAAATAAGCCACTCAGTAAATTGGCCATTAAAGACAACTTAGCACATTTCCGCCACGTTGTGTTATTTCTCGAACTTGTCATGAAATCGATGGGAAGTGTACAAATATCCGTGTCTTGCAAATTATAAGGTATTAAAAAAAGTTTCAAATATATTCTTTAGGCGAGATAAGTCAGTTCATAGTAGTGGAAACGTATCTTAGTTTTTCTAAGGGATATATTGGTCTTGAATCAATAATCAATATAAAACTTTTCATAGAGAAATAGACATGTATGGAAGTTTTTGCAAACGCGAAATGAACTTAAATTAAAAAAAAGGAATTTATCAGTATTATTAGATTATATTTAAAAAGAAATTTAAGTTCAAATATTAATGCAGTCGCGTCCAAACATATTAAATGAGATTTATATGTGTTACAAAGATTTTTATCCAGTTGTTTTCTCATCCACTACCTCAACAACTATCTCATTTACAGCGCTAGAGAGTCAATAAAATACTAAAGTCGTAAAAATTCAGTTTTTATATCTTATGTGTTTATTATGTCGCCCTGCTAGCAAATGAAAATCATGAATCAGAAAATGCTTGCTCACTACCCAAACTATAGGATGTCGATTGGAACATGATATTTTCGTTGGAACGTAACTAAGATTAATTAATAAAAAGTATTCAGTGCGGCAAGAAATCACGACTTATATAAGCCATAGCGCACATAGAAGAAGTCCATTTTGCAATAATTATTTTTATCTATCTAATCTGGGTCCATCTTGACATCTTAAAGATATATCAGTTCCATCTTTCTTGCTCTTAATTGAGTTTTGTAAACGGTTATTTTTGATGACACAACTGTAGTTTTGTAATTTTGTGTAGTATATCAGTCCGGGTTGATCTTGATCCAGTTTCTATTGATCCTATAGTCAAAGATTTCGATGTGACGGCATGTTTTAACCGTATTCCTATCGAGTGGGTTGCGCCCAAAGTCTGTTTAATAGTCGGCCAATTCGAAGAAAGGCACAGTGACAGAGTAGAATTTCTTAGAGGTTGATGAGAAGTTTTTCGGTTTAGACTGTGTCATCCATTGAACTTTATGTATCTCTGCCCGTGGTTCATACTGTTACCCGTTTATACTGTGCGCGGACTAACGATAGAAGCGGTCACTAGAAGCAGCTGATTAGACTATTTTATGAACTAGTCTAAAATGAATAAAAAAAATTCAAAATCGGACTCACTTCACATAGCTTAATTTAAGCACTCAACAACATATATGCGTACATAGTGATATTTACCAAATCATAATAATTTTTTGATTCTTCACTCCAGAAGAACACTATTATCGGTCGTTCTGTATGGCTGTCTATCTGTTGGATTTTTACTCTAGGAGACTCCTATTCTCAGTCTGTGTGTCTGTCTGTCCTTCATCCAGCTGTAGCTTTTAAACAGCCAGACGTGCGTGGATGCAATTTATCATATGGGTTATCCTTCACCATAGTTTTATGCGTTTCACCCAAAATTCGAATTGATGTTTTGTCTCCATAGCAGCAGCAAGAAAAACATTTGTCGTTATTCTCTTGTTACTGTTAGAACATTACAACAAAGTCTATATCAGCATATCATGCATGACCTGGGGGAAATTTCTTCATTCTTTGGGGTAAATTTCCTTATTGTGAAAAGATTTTGAAAAAACAAAAACCACATCTATTTGCTTGTTTTGATGCTCGAAATCAGTATCAGCCTATTAATATCACTAAGCCTATACTTCAAACGAAATTGAAAAAAACCAACTCCTTTAAATAAGTCGAGTTCATTAGTTTTACCCATTACAATAAATTCAGGCACAAAAATAGCAAAATAAAATTTGTTGAAACAGAGTGGCACGAAAAGAGAGAAAATATCAGGACAAATATTTGGATTTTAGATTTACGTATCTTATTCAAGACGGTCTTCGAATTCCCTGTTTTGTGCATGAAAACCTTTTCAAATAGTACCATGCAACCTGCCCCGCTAAAACAACGCCTAGCAAATGCTCTTCCAAGCATGCTTAGTAAAAACCGGTCCTTTTTTAAGTCAAGAATGATCTGTATAAATTGTAAAAAGCTGGACAAATCCGGCACTATTAGGCAGACCAACAATACTGCTGTACATGCATCTTTCACCATTGCTTTGTATGTGGCAAAAGCTAAAAAAGCACATACGAATGGTGGAAACTTTCTAAAAACTTTTCATGATTAAAATTCCCCCTCACTCTTTTAGCTCTCCTCCACAGTCTTTCACTTTCTCCACTCTTATTTACCCTCACCGACTTCACTCTCCCCACTCTTGACTTCTTTCGCCACTCTACCACACCAACACTCTTCCACTACCTCCATACTTTTTTTCCCTTTTTCCCACCCAAATCCACTCTCCATTTTTTCATGACGAACTGAGAGACTTCGCGTCTAAAGTTAGAACTCTTTAAACTTTGCACGACGAATATTTAATAAATATTCCCGAATGACTCTATTGGGGATATTTCTTGTAATCTTGTTTGATAAAGGGGTAAAATTTTTAATGTCTGAGTTTGAGTTAAAAAAGTAAAATTTTGCCAGCTTTTTTTTAGCCAAAACATCTAATTTTGGTTTTAGTTTAGTTGTGATAATTGTCAAAACGAGTTTAGGTCAATTGAGATCAGTGTATAGATTTATTGAAATTCATCAAACTGAAGATCTATTACCTCACTCATGTGGACAAAACTTAGTCTTCAATAATTTAGCTATCTATCTTCACGAATTACGGTGCAGAAAGGGGATGCAGCAGCAGAATATTAAAAACCAGCGGGAAAAAATAGACTAAATTACATGGTAAGAATGCGTAAGCTATGAAAAAAAAGGCGCTCCAGAAGTATGTGTACCATTATGGAGGGAACTAATTTTGTTCGCCTACTTTACATCAAGTTGTGTAAAGAGACTGAAACCTATGGGCGGGGGGAATCTTCACTTGGCTAACACAGACAGTCCCCGAACTTGTAATAGAACTAAAATAAGAAAAATCGGAATAAAATTATGGCCTAATCCTAACTGGTACACACACTACGAGAGTACTAAATAAGAAAAATCGGAATAAAATTAAGACCTAATCCTAACCTGGTACACACAATACGAGAGTACCCAAAAACGAACGGTAATAGTGAGTTTTGGGGACATTAAAAAAACTTTGTCGGCACTAATTTGGAGCTCGATGTTGCGTGTGATCGCACACGACGAGGGCAAGAAACAAGTGTGGAAAGCACGCCGTCGAATCCAGTGAGCGAGAATAAATAAGGTTTCGTTATGGTCCAAATGACACAAAAGTCTGTTGCAACCAAAAATACAACTTGCACAGACTACGATCAACAGCTAGCAAGCCTATTGTACCATAACGATTTCAATGAATATTCATATGGATAAACGTGATGTAGAATCCCATAAATTGGTGACTTTGTCTGGACGTATAGTTGCGGCAGTTCGCAGACTTGATTTTTAGTTTCAAACCAAACGAGATTTGGAGGTCAAGTATTCAATGTTGTGGTGCAACAAACGTCATTTATCAGACATTGGGTTTTTGTGGCGACAGAATAACTTCTGAATCAATATCTTGCAGTTATCGGTTAAAAGAATGTAAAATTCTTTAGCAATTTTGAGGCGTATATGTTTTGTAGAAATGAAGAAATTACGATCAAATCCAATGTCTCGGGCAAATATATTTTCCTACCTATCATATTGGTAAGTGGAATATTTTTTTAACATTTACGGTTTACGATACGAAAACTTATGAATCTTTGAGATTAGGTTTTTATCAGACGTTGAATAAATGTTATTATGAGACAATTTTTAAGCGTAATCATATTATTCGTTTTCTAATAGGCATAATCACTTCAGTTGTTTAGGCAGATTGTTTTTTGGCATTTGAATGCTAATTTATTGTATTAATGAGGTCAAAGTAGAATTAGAAATATCCACAAAAAGAATTAGTATAACAATACAATGTCATGAATAAATGTAATAGCATCACCATTCAACCAGGTGGCTGAACGACTTTTTTGCTGAAGGATCCAAGCGGACGTTACAAGAATCAGATATGTTTGAACTTGATGTTTCCAATATGTCCGCAGAAATTACGAGTGATTTGGAAAGGTGCGTTTAGAAAAAATAAAGTAGTTTATTGCATGCACAATATCAATGTCTAATATATATGACAAGCAAGTCGTCACGCTAATAACCGAATTGCGTAAGTCATTTTTGGCGATTTTGAGTTTTTTATAAAATAGGTATTTATGTAATGCTGCGCACCTGTCTCTTTACTCAGATTTTATTTTAAGAATTCCGAAACTCATAAAAATGGAGATTTAGTATGACATGCACATTTGTGCAATTGTTTCGTCATAATGATTTATCAGTGTTACCGCAGGACTATTGTGACGTCACAAAGACAAAATAACCTCGGTTAGGTATTTTCGAGTTTTTGCATCTCGGATTCTAGCTTAGCGCGTATTAATTTAAAATTTTACTACAGTATAGGGGGACGTGCACTTGTGATATTCACCGTCCGAGTCAAATTCACCTTGGTTGACTTTTATATTGGGTGCATTGCTGTTTTATTCTTTATATTTAATCTTAGTCTTATTTCGGTGGGTGTGCAGAACGTGTTATATTGATGAAATATATATTTTTAAACATAAAAAATAATGTAATTGAAACTGATTAGCTATTTTGGGGATTAGACATTGTAGATACTGAGAATTACATTCGGTTTTGGAATGTTTAGTTTTCAGGACTGGTGCATATAGTAAAGTTGCAAAATTGCGTATGTCACCAAGTCATAGACACATTTCTGCCTAAGTCACAGTGCGCCATTATGACGTCACTTAACTGCGTCATACAAATCAACTTAAATCCGGCTACGATCAAAAAATTGAACCATGGCAAATTATTGACTCTCAATGGCATAACAATATCATTAGGAAGTTTTTTACGTTTTTCTCAAAACTGCTAAAAATGACTTACGCAATTCGGTTATTAGCGTGACGAAGTGGTGTAAGTCCAAAGCGGGCGGTATACCAAGCATGATTGTAAAATACGAAGGCACAGTAAAAACCACGCCATCTGTCAATTCCTATTCAGAAATTGGGAGAAAGAAATTCGAAGATCTAAAAAAACAACCGAACCGAGTTTAATCCGAGCGGTAGCAATGACATATAGGAGGCGATTTATGTTATGTGGTGTATTAGCTCTTATAGCAGTGAGTAGTAAATATTTTAATTTAAGTAATTTTCAATTAAATAATGATGTCTCTTTTTAAGTTATTATTACCATATTTATAAAAATTGGAATATTAAATCTTTGTGAATCGTGAATTTTTTTTGTTTGTGTGTGTGTGTTACACTTACAACTCAAATGTAATCAAAACATAAACCAAATTATTTGTTCCAGGAATGTCTCCGAACAGCAGTACCAGTCTTGATAGCATATCTCGTAAAATACTTCGAGAATCAAACGGTTACTCCAGTTTGGCATGCATATGCTTATGCCGCTGGGATAAGTGTCGTTACAATATTATTGGCTTTTATTCATCATCAAAATTTTTATATAACTCAAAGAATTGGATGGCTTATGCGAGCATCAACCTGTGCCTTGATGTATAAAAAAGTAGGATACTTACGTATACTCTATAACTTGAATAGTTTTGTAACTATCATCATATAATTTGAAACCTTTTATCGAATGGCAAAATCTAGTCTCCGATTTAATCAAGGTTATTGTATAACAGTGACGGCCCCTACATGATTTTGTACTTGTACTTCTCCAAAGTAGAGTAGTTTCAGGATTTGAACTATCCCTATTGTAAATCGATGAACCATCGAAAAAAAAAGCCTTTCAATGGGCAATTAACAGAAAAAATCTCCTTGTTTTTCTGCCTTTTTGAGGTAACACGTTTTTGAGCAAATTCTTATTCATTCAATTTTATAATTACAAATACCGTCGATATATTACTCACAATATTACATATAAGGTTGTTTTTCAGACACTTCGCTTGAGTCAGAAATCATTGAATAATACGTCGACAGGTAAAATAGTTAATCTCGGAGCCACAGATGTTCTTCGATTTGATGTGGTGAGTAAATGCCATACATTCATCTGTAATATTTGAATACATATATATTACAAGCTTGTGATCCAATGAAATTTTTCCTCTTTTTTTCAATGACGTTTAATAGGAATAAAATGTAAAATAAATAAAATGAACGTATTAAATGTAGCCTTGTAACAGAGATGACCAGTCAAGTTCCGACCAACTGCGGCTTTTGAAAAAAAAGCCATCAAACGAAGCAAATTGACAAACAATTCTGATTCCGACATTGGGTTCAAAAACAAACTAACCGCAACTGTGTTAGCAAGTTGTTTTGCAAAACAAACTCTGAGGTATAATTATTGTACAATCGAGATTAACGTTCATAAAAAATGGCACATATCCTTTCATGGATAGCAATTTTTTCTAGTTGTAAAAAGTGTTTTGTACATATTACACATGTATATTCTTACTCAATTAGCTTCCTAGCTTTCTGCATTATCTCTGGATCGCACCGCTGCAATGTTTAATTGTTGGAAGTATAATCTGGCAAGAACTTGGAATTGCTGTATTATCTGGAATGGGATTCTTGATTTTGATCATGTTATTGCAAATATTCAGCGGACGGGCATTCGGCAAAATTAGGTAACTATCACCAAAACATCTATCACTGAAAAAATTGGCACACGTATCTCATGAAATTGATCAGATTTTTTACCCCCTACTTTTTCATTCAATTGCAATGGTGTGGCAGTTAACTCATGTTTGCTGTGTTAAAATAGTGAGAGAAAATTATTTTCTACTAACGTCATACTATGCGTTCAATTTAAGTATTGTTTTCAAATAAATGTCCCACTTCGACCATACAATTTTCTAGTTGTATTCTAATTCTTCAACATTAACACTATTTTGTGAAATACAGAAGTATGACAGCTGTTATTACAGATAAACGCATACGACTAATGAATGAAGTGATAACTGGAATGAGAATTATAAAAATGTATGCATGGGAAAAACCGTTTGCAAAACTTGTTTCAAACACAAGAAGGTAATTCCATTTATACGTATTCAATAAGGCTTTATAATTTGATACGCAATATATTGGAGAAACTTTTTGTGTAGCAAGCGGCGTTGTGTAAGAATCAAACACAACGAGAATCAAATTTTCGTAAAGGGGTGTCTCGAACACTGCACTATGTGTGTGTATCGTATGTTCCATAAGTAACGTGTACCATTTATACAGCAAATATCGTAACGTACCATTTGTACAGCAAATATCGTACGTTATGTGTATCGATAATATCTTCTTAATTACTTGCACCCATTATGTCACAACTTAGTATAAGTGGTACATGCGGTACAACTGCTGCAAGTTGTTCAAGTTTTGTAAGTGGGAAAAAGGGTACACAACTCATTCCATTGGCACACGTGCAAGTAGGCCATGCAAGCGTTGCTATGTTACATTATGTTATGCACGTTAATTCCTATGCTATAGGAACTGTGCTACAATTTTAATGGATATTATCCATTTGTGTACCAATCTTGTTTTTCTTTACTCGATCTAAAGTTCAAACATAACATTTATGATGCAATTTTATCTGCAGGAAAGAAGTTCAAAAAATTCTTCTTTCGTCTTCATTGAAAGCTTTTAATTTTTGCATTCATGCATTCCAAGATAAAATACTCACCTTTGTTACCTTATTGACATATGTCGCCTTAGGAGGTACAATAACAGCGTCGAAGGTATGTTTTATGAACAAAAAATTTATAACCTGAACTAATCTAATTCAAATTTTTATTGAACACAAGATATTGCCTAATTTAACTAATAACTAAATTATAAGAGTTTAAAATCAGAATCAATCATTGTGATATATAACTATATATCAATAGATTGGACCTGATTTATACGCCAAACTTCGTTAAAATTTACAGTACAAAGCAGATATCAGTCAAGAACAAATGACACTCATCAGAAGCACGACGAATTTATACAATTTGAATTTTGATCACGTTATCGTACACAAAAAGCAAATCTCATAGAGCCCACGAACATTTAAAAAAAAGAATAAAGTAAATAGCCTTTTAGCGAAAAATACAATTTTTAACCACTGAAAATTCCAAAGCAATTGGTCCAGTAGGTAGTGAGAAAAAAATTCACAACAAGAAGAAGAAAAGAAATATTAACCAGATAACAACAACAACATAACAACAAAACAATTCATGTTTACATTTCGTGTCAAAAAAGTCTTGTAATTTCGTTGCAGTATTGCAGTATTATGCTGTCATATTTTTACATAACAATACAATTATTCTGTCCATTTCTCGCAACGTCTTTCGGTTTGCATTAATCCAAGGGGAAGCAGAATGTTTTAGGGATTTACGAAAACTAGATGCCTCTTTGCAATTTCGTCTTTTTTCGCGTATCATAGAGTTTGAAAAACAACATTTGCTAGACTTAAATTAACGAGCCAGATATTATGTAGCAGGCTGGTAATTGCGGTACTTTATTGAGGTAGAAAGCCAATCGAAAATTATAATTTCCTCAGGCTGGAATTTCCTTCCAAATTCTTTGATACCATCTCAAAATTTGCCGTGTCAAATAAGACTTAAGTAGAAGATACAGCAGCAAGTTTCTCATTGATGCAGAATATGATTCAAAATCTGTGACCCACAGTCTGCTATTCGCAATAAAAATAAAATTTTCAGCCGTTCAATGAAAAAGGTTCGCCATCCCTGTTATATAAGCATTACACGCGATGGCTGCCATAACACCATCTAGTTATATAGCATGTTACACGCTGAATATCTCTTTAAGTAAAATACATCACAGCGAGTTAGAAATTTAAGATGTTCGCTAATATTACTATTGAATCTATGAATTTGTATTACTTAATGCTCCTAAATAGTCGGTGTGCTATGTAAATCTTAATGTGAATATAATATATATATGTTTTTGTGCATCTTTTCTGAAGCAGTGCTGATTTCCTCTTGCTAATTTGATGCTAGGAAGCAAATCTAACTATTTTAGTAGTCCAGCTTCTACCATATTATTTTGAAATCTCTTGTTAAAATATCATAATAGACTTTGTTGCACCACCAATTGCCCATTTGTATCATTTCCTGCTTAGTTTTATTATGATGTTAAACGTCTAATTTATGCCTGAAACATTCAGGGCATAAAGCGGTTTATGTTACATAGAATAACAAATTATATATACTGTATTTATTTATAACTGACTAGTTTTGAAACTTTAATTTACAGTTTCTGGCACCCCGAGTAAATTTTTTGTTATTCAAATCATACATCTCTTGTCATTTCAGATATTTATAGTAATGGGACTCAGCTCATCTTTGAAACTTTCTACTACTTGTTTCGCGCTAGCAATTGAATATATGTCAACAACTAACGTATCAATGAAGAGAATACAGGTATGTTTACATTAGGTCATGCGTCAATATCCTAGTGAACGTCAGGCATGTTCGTTTCTTTATTAAATCATTTTTTTGTTATTTATCTTTTTATGTACGCATAATTACTCATTATCAATATCATATTACCTGTATCATTTTATCTATGGCAGTGGTAATCGGTCCCCTTTCAGAACATGTAAAGAGGAAATTGCTAGATTGGCATTATCATTCAAATTTCATGTCTTTGTGACATTAATATCACATTCATTTGTTCACTTCTTCAATAATTAAATATTTATCATTTGTGTCACGAGTATGTTGCTTGGTTGTATTCAATTCATTCGTCTTCTAAAAATAGCCTATTCACACGGTTAATGATTTATTATTGAATTTTTGAATGGTGAAATTATTTTACAAGTTACACTCTACTCGCCTTTATGGCCTATAAAATTAGAGAGTATTGCATGGCTATCTAAATAAAACATGTCATTGCTTGTATCCGTCTTCTGTGTACCTTGTATACGTTATTAGATAGAGTACTTTACGAATAGGTGTAAAGCTAATGACGTTTAAAAGTTCGGCTTGACATAAACCACGACTGGTGACTTCATAACGAAAGTAACCATTGCAATTATTTTAAGTTATATCAGTTTCTGAATTTGCTATTGTAAGGTATTAATTATTACTGCACTGGAATATTTCATGATTTGTTTCTGAAATGACTTTAAAACACTTTTGTCAGAAATATTTGCTGATGGACGAATTTTCTGATATTCGAAATTATTTAAAATCAAACTCCGACCAAGAAATTTACGTAGAACTCGAAAACTTCACTGGTAAATGGGAATTGGTAAGAACACAAATTAATGGATTCATTTGCGTTGGTTGTATTTGCGTTGAATCAGAAGTTTTAATTGATTTGGATAAACTAGTTATAAGATATGAGAAAACATGCGATCAGGTATTGCCATAAATTATAATGCTATTTAAAATAATTTTTAAATGAAACTGATTGCGAATTATATTTGGTAATGATGATTTTGTTGATCCAGTTGGTATCAGTATAATATTTGAATATTGTAATCAAAGTCTTATAAATGTGCAAATTTTTTTGCAGAATGATGATGCTAAAGAGAGATCTGATACAACATTAAATTGTGTAAATGTCCGAGTAGACGCAGGAAAGTTGGTCGCAGTTATTGGACCGGTTGGCTCAGGAAAGGTTACGCAACAAAAATTGTTGTACTTTTCGTCTAGAACGAATAGTCGAAGTATAGGAACACATAGCGCATATTTTATTACTAATTTCACTCTTTGTGAAAAACGCGAATAGCAAAACACTAACGAAGATGTTTGTAGATACGAGTTCGATACCTCATTTGAAACAGCTGAACTCAAATGTCGCATGACTGAACCCAAACTCGCATGACCGAATTTCTTTCAATAACAGTAAAGCATGTGATTTAACAAAAGGTTTCTTTCAGTCCTCGCTTTTAAGTGCAATACTCGGTGAATTACCTGCGGCTGAAGGGAAGGCTACAGTTCATGGAAATGTTGTCTACTCCAATCAAGTTCCTTGGATTTTCTCCGGTACTGTACGAGAAAATATTTTATTTGGTGAGGAATTCGACCAAGAACGTTACCACGAAGTAATCCATGCATGCTGTTTAAAGAAGGTACGAACGAATACCGCATAATGTAATCGCATAACTCATTTGACAGTTAGAAACAAAATTCAGTCAGATGTTCACACCAAGTTAAAAATTGTAATAAACAATGTTGATTTGATATTGTTACATTAGATAAAAGCAAAGGCGCGGACAAATGATAAGACTTTCCAAATTTTATTATTTTGATAATAATTTTTCATCTTGAGTTATTGTTTTCTGTTTTGAAAAATGAATTTCTATCCGTTTAGGTAAGATTAATAATAATCCTGGTCTTTTTTAAAAATGTTAAATTAAACACTGATCTTAGGACCTCAAACTTCTGGTTGATGGAGACATGACACTCATAGGCGAGAGGGGTGTTACATTAAGCGGAGGTCAAAAGGCAAGAGTAAGCTTGGCACGAGCTGCGTACAAAAGGAATGCAGATATATGTTTATTGGACGATCCACTAAGCGCAGTAGATATCACTGTCGCAAGCCATATATTCGAACACTGCATTTGTGGAATAATGAAAAAGAAAGTAAGAGTTGTTTTTTAAAAATATATACTAGTACAACTAATCATCACTTCATTTGTTAAATTCAAAGTATGTCAGTGAATTATAATATTTTACACCCACTCCGAACACTATTCCATATAATGAAACTCAAACAACGGAGCTCAGCACACATTATAACAGGGAAATCATTTATAAATGAAAAGATTTTGAGTGGAATTTTTGAATAAATAATATGTAATTTATCCTCAATCATTTTGCAGACTGTCAAGAAACGCAGTTCATTGATGCTATATATATTTATTAAATTTTATGATTGGATAACGTAGATAACCTATATTCAATCAATCACACTTAATTTGCTGATTACGGTTCTGGCCAATAATTGATTTATCCAGGAAGTATTCAGACTTTTACATACATACAATTGCCAACACTCGAACTAACATTATTCTTCTCATTCGCTGTAGGCGCGAATACTCATTACTCATCAACTGCAGTTATTGAAGAGCGTGGATGAGATTCTCATTTTCAAAGAGGTTTGTGCTTTCATAGCGTTCATTTTAACACGATAGTTTATTGTATAATTCTGGTAAGAAAAATTGTTCTCTCACAAGGATGCAATAACGGGTCATTTTCAAGAGTTCCCTGCAATTTTTACAGCCATTTATTTTTATTTGTCTTCTAGTGGAGATAATTATACTGTAATCAGTGTGATATAGAAAAACAATTCAATAAATTTTTTTGTGTATCCTTGTCCTATTGGTCATTCAGGGAAGAGTAAATGATCGCGGAACTTATGCCGAACTTCAGGATAGTGGAGTTGATTTTGCTGCTTTGCTCTCGAAAAAAGAAGACGAATACGAATCGGTTTCTCGCGGTATAAGTTCTTATTCATTTGTAAAAAATGTTTTTGATCCAATAACAATAATAAAATATAACAAATATTTTCACTAGCAATGACATTATTTGTTTACTTTGACTCACTTCCAGAAAAAGGACAAACAGTTACAGGATCCCCCATTAGCCTGAATACAAATTCAAATGATTCACCACAAAAATCCATAGTGCAACAAATATCGATCGGAGACAATAAGAACGAGGTTAATACCATCTAATAACTCTCTATATGTAAATTGGTGGTTGTAACTTTTAGCAGTAGCGCCTAGTAACCATTTTCTTCTAATATATTCTGCTGGCTCAAATTTTTTTTTTTTCAGATTTGTTTTTAATTCATGGTTTGTCGATAAGGAAATTCATGTATTCTTTTTTTTTATATGGGTTGCGTAATGTTCTGTTAATCAAATTACCTTATATATAAAATTTTAAAGATTACAATATTAAATCTCAATATAGAGATATTCAGAAAAGATCGTTGCAGAAGAAATAAGAGAACAAGGAAGTATTGGAGGAAAAGTTTATCTCGAATATTTCAGAGTTGCGGCAAACGCATTCTTACTTTTTTTATTTTTCATCATTGTTATAGCAAGTCACGTGCTATATATTATGAATGACTGGTGGTTATCGAAATGGTGAGTTAACTTATACCTTAGGAAACATTTTTCTTCAGCTTGATCAGTGAGAGTTTTGTGAATGACAATTATTTACCTAAAGTATCGGTTACAGAGTTTGGCGTGACTATGTGTAAATTCCAAATGCTACATTTGTGCTTGTTTCGAATTCCTAGAAATCCATGTAGCAGCAAAACATTTTCTTTCGGGCATTTTTTTTCTTGTGATAATATATCAATAAATATATCAACAGGACAACGTCATATGAAAACTATCTGTCAAATTTTTCATCGAATAATCCAGATTTTTCTTCTGGATCGGGACAAAATGAACCGTCTGAAGTTTTTAATTCGACTACCTCGTATACAAGTGTTAACAATACAAACACGTTTGATTCCAGATATTACATGAAGATATATGCAGGTAATCACGGATACGCATCGTTGTCATGGCACTTGGATATATTGATTGAGTAGGAAGATAGACTAAAAACTGGTTAAAGCAAAATTCTAATATTTGAAAATAAATAATCAAACTGATGCAAGAAACATAGCTTACATACTCTATTGTTTAGTTCTTTCCGCGATGGTGTTTTCGATTGTGTTTCTTCGTGCAAATTTACATTTTTATATTTGCGTAACCTCCGGTATCCACATGCATAAGAAGATGTTTGAAGCAATCCTACGAGCCCCGATCAGATTTTTCGATACTAATCCAGCAGGTGAGCCGGCATTTTCCTATTTATTGCGTTTATTGGACAAGAAATGTACATATGGATTGTTTTGGTAATATGTTGTTTTTATAATTCTTTCACATGTTCTTGTTGTTATGAACAATCGCTTTTCTCATTCCCTACTGAACCATTTACTTTGAAACCTTGTGGTTAAAGATTGTATTTTTCATTAGAAATCTATTTCGTATTTTGTGTGCAATGACGTCATCTAAATTAAATACCCGTACTACTTCGTATTGGCTTTCGTGTCCATATATATGAGAATCACTCTCTTGTATTGAGAATGAATTGTTCAAGTTGTCAGTCAAATGTATTAAGCGCAATACATGAATCCACAATTTATCAAAGCTTTATTCTATTGACCATCCAGGAAGAATCCTAAACAGATTTTCCAAAGACATGGGACAGATAGACGAGCTTCTGCCAATCACTTTCATTGACTTTCTGTGGGTGAGAAGAAGATTGTTGAGTTTCAAATCGAATTTCCGTTCAGCACAATATTCTGATTTATTTTCACCCGTGGCATTGACTGTTTGTGAGCCATCTCAACTTTAATTAGAACTTATTTAATAGCTTTTGCATTGACTATTTTTCTTCCGTACTTGACTAAACTGATTAAATGTCTGCACAGAAAAATACGTTTTGATAAATAAATGTTAATATTTCTCTTTGGAATTTTAAGGAATACCATAACCTATGTACAGAGGGAAATCGTCGAGTCATGATGTGAATGCTCATGATTTTCCCAATTGTAATTGTAGTTGCTTTAATTTGTCTATTATTGATTTACAGATTCTTGGCGTGATCGTCAGTGTTGTAATTCTCACATCAGTCGTCAACTATTTTGTCATCATTGTAATTATTCCATTGGTCATTTATTTTCTCTGGCTAAGAAGCTATTACTTGCGTACTTCAAGGGATATAAAAAGACTAGAAGGAACTTGTAAGGAAGCATTGAATATTTCAAACATTTACCAAAAATACCAAAGTTAAACATCACATATTTAAAATCACTAATTCACATTGTAACAGTCTTGATACTCTTTGGGTTTGAACAGGAATTTATAAAAACTAATACATACAATCAAACACAAAACTAGTTGCAATCAATGCCGAATTTTTTAGGAAATGACGTATTAATCTACACACATTATCATTCAATATTTTGACTAGAATAGTTCAATCAGCAGTCGCATTTTTCATAGGCTTTCTATATTATTTTACCCAGGCAGGAGTCCAGTCTTCAGCTTGTTATCCTCAACTTTACAAGGTTTACTCACTGTTCGTGCTTTCGGTGTTCAACACCAATTCGAAGATAAATTTCACGAATATCAAGATTTACACAGTGGTATTTTATATATCATAATGGTATTTAATATTACCAACATGTTATTCGATTATTTTGGGGGATATGGAAAATGTTATTTTACATTAAATTAAAATTGAACCTATATAACATGGTATAGGTGAGAAGAATTATTAGAATATTTTTTTAATAAACTTCAGTTTATTCGATGATAAAATTAGTTCTAAAACATTGACAATACATTCGAAACATTAAATTTATATATAATTTGATAGATCGACCAAAAATATAAATTGAAAATCAGTTTTAATTCATTCAAAACGAAATGTTGCGGAGTGATCTTGCTGAACTCGAATATATTTTTGATAAAATTTTACAGAAGACGAAAGTCATATTAAGTTCGGTATCACTTCCCAGAGTTTTGTGAACAAAATCTTCGAGACTCCACATAGTTGATTCTCTCATTTTACTGTTAGTGCATGACATGAGTCAATGCATCTTGTCGTTATCGTTATAATGTGGCGCAAGTTAAATTCATCATTTCTCCATCCAGCGTCATGGTTTCTGATTCTTGTTGGAACAAGATGGTTTGGATTACGACTCGATTTGATAACTGCTACGTTCATATCAGCCGTTACATTTTTCTCCGTAATTAGCGCTTCATTACTGAATCTTCATTCGGGTGAAATTGGATTAGTCTTAACTTACACGGCATCATTGATCAGTATATTCCAATGGGGTGTTCGTCAAAGTGCAGAAGTTGAAAATTTAGTAAGTAGAGACCTGTATACAGTTAATAGAGATAGTTTCGTCAAGCATTTCACATTATTTCTTAAGCTTTCAATAATGTCATGAGCACTTTTTGCGCTTGAAAACTTCATGTATACATAATTATCTGCCACAATTAAGTTAAAACTGATATATATATATATATATATAGGCCCTAGATTTAAGTTGTATGGTACGCGTGCCCGCTGATCTTTTCGCCGTACTCGGTGCTCAGCTACGGCTTCACTAATATCGATGCAAGACCTCTGTGTTGATATGTTGAAGCATTGCGTTCTCGCTATAATTTCTACAACGCCATACTCACCATGATAAATTGAAATATTCGGTAATGGTAATCCATTTATTCTATTTAACATCCCCTCGTGTGCTCTTAAAATTAAGCTTTATTATATCGAATGTCTTACAGATGACATCAGTAGAAAGAGTTCAGCAATATTATCGCATACCGCCAGAAGCCGCGTTGGAAAATCCTTATAAACAACCACCAAACAGCTGGCCAACATCTGGCGCTATCAAGTTTGAAAATGTATCTTTTTCTTATTATGATGGTGGACCGAATGTGCTAAGAAATATTGATTTCGCAATACAACCAAAAGAAAAGGTAAATTATCTTTGAAACGAAGTTACCTAACACGAATATTTCAAAATAGAAATAGTTCTCATGCAATGTTTATTCACCAATATTATCAGTTATATTTGATTTTCTATCATTTGCCAAGATTAATTACCTGAAAATATAGCAGTACAGTATTCAGTAATTCAACTTTTATTTCTCTTTTCTGTAACTTTGCTCAAAGTAACGTTAAAACAAGCAATTCCTGTAATGTAAATATTTGATACTTGTGTTTTTTCGAAGAACGCTTTTAAGTCTATTGAAGGTATTGTGATATAACACCATTGTATACATTTAAATTAAAGATGTGCGTTTGATGTATAAAGTATAATTAGAAATTATTTTTTTGGCACAGAAAATAAAGAAAAGATAGAAATAAAACTCTCGAAAGATGATCCAACTTGAATTGGTTAAACTGAGTTTAAAACGTTTGTCATACCTTAAAGAAGAAATGATTTTAATGAAACAGAATTACATAAGTTCTCTTCGTGACACTTTAAATTTGTTGTGTAGATGGAATTTAAAAAAATCCTAAATAAAATAAAATCAAGGATGAAACAAGTTTTACACATTTTCTTTAGATTGGAATTGTCGGACGAACGGGTGCCGGGAAAAGTTCTCTCATATCAGCACTTTTCAGACTTTCTGAACTAACAAGTGGTGAAATATTCATTGATGGAATTCCCATAACACCTTTAGGACTTCAAGACTTACGTAAAGCACTATCTATAATTCCGCAGGTCTAAATTACTACTTATATTATACAATATTATAAAGAATTCTGTCAAATTTCGTTTTTTGAATGTTGGCTTTCAATTCAAATTGATTCATAAGTTAGTCGCGGTACCACCACTTTCCTGTAATTGGTCTTATAAACCGTGTGTTTTTTAAATAAACGTTAAGAAGGCATACTTAAATAGAGTTGTTTACTCAGACTCAAATTCCTGAAATCGGAAACTTTAAGCAATTAAAGTCCTCTGACATTTACTGAGTAATTCGTTTATTTTATAGGATCCGATCCTTTTCACTGGAACAATGAGAAGAAACATTGATCCTTTCGACAATTATTTGGATGACGATTTATGGAACGCATTGGAGCAGGTTTCACTAAAATATACAATTCACAATAACCAAATGTACTAATTTTTACTTGACGCAAATATAAGAACGATTTAGCATTACTGAATGCTTACATGTGCTTTTTTAAAACGGAATTTTTGAAAATAAAGTAGCATTCTGGTCTGTGCACGGTTAGCAAAAGTTGGTCAGTTGGTCACAACAGAGCTATCATAGTAGAACTGTCGACATAACTCTTTGGATGTGATTGGTCAGTGTCAGAACGACAACCGTCCAAGAGAAAACGTTTCGAAAAGTGTAAAGGTGGTGTCCTCACGGTATTGTACGAAGAACTACTTTATTAGGCGGTGAAAGTTAATGTATGTACCCAAATAAAGATATTCATCATTTGCATAATTCTAGTTTCGTCTGAAAACGCCACTGTTCTAAAATTAACAACCACAAGGTGCATAGAATATGATTTCGTAATCATCGAATTATCAGATTTCAACTTCGTTTTGTCAGGTTCAGTTGAAAGTGTTGGTTGAATCTTTCCCTTTGAAACTCAACACAGAACTTGCTGAATCAGGATCTAATCTCAGTGTTGGACAAAGACAACTTGTTTGCCTTGCACGAGCAGTTTTGAGGAAAAGTAAAATTCTTGTGATTGATGAAGCTACTGCAAATGTCGATATCAGGTATATAAAATGCAGAATTCATAGAAATTGAGTTTCAGAATCTGTTTCTTTGCGATGTCATTAAAATAGATAGGAAACTTAAAATGGGTGAATAACAGCAATTTTTAATCAAATATAGTATATATTCACACCATTGTGCCGCGATAATCGTAGCATATCGTATTGAAATTAATTCAAAAAATGTGTTTGCTTGTTATTGCAACTGTTAAATTATTAGTATTAGTATTAAAACTAAATTCTACGTTATGGCTGTCAACATTGGTAAAAAATATTTTTATTTCGCTTACTCTAAGTAAAATATGTTGATCTTTCATATGTAGATCGATACAGCCAATATATAATTACGAAAGTATATAAAGATATTTCAAAAGTTTTCACTTGTGATTCAGCATCGTCTTTGTAATAGATACAATCAGCTTATTATTACATATCACAACGAACTCAGCCTTTTGTTTATCGCAATTATCTGTACATTGACAACAACAAAAATGACCCATCAATATATTTACCGTTCACGCAAGTCCGTGTTAAACTAATTTTTCCCATGTATTTCCTTGTCTTTTCAGGCAACAGTCACAAATCTATTAGTTGAAAACAGCAAACATGACTAATTTTTTTTTCTTTCTGAATCTTTGTTTTACTTTTAGGACAGATCGTCTGATTCAAAAGACGATAAGACGAAAGTTCAAGCAATGCACTGTTATAACTATTGCTCACCGAATAAATACAATAATAGATTCAGACAAGATTTTGGTAATTTTTTTTTATTTAGCGACAAATCAGGCGCCGATTTTACTAGTTTAAATTATTTATAAGTATATACTTGAAATTTGTGTGTCAGTTTTCATGCAGTAAAAATGAACTCATTTTGTTGAAACAATGTAATTTTCTATCTACAGGTGCTAGAGGAAGGACAAGTTAAGGAGTTCGACAAACCAAATGTTCTTTTGCAAAAAAGGGATGGCCTGTTTGCTAGCATAATGAAAAGCGCTGGTCTATCTATAGCAAAACCAAATTGCGAATAAAAAAGGCTACAAAAGTGACAGCAATAGTTGTATTTGTTCAGGCTTTCAATTCTATTTTATTCTTTGAACATATAAATGCTTGCTATGAATGTAATATATTCTGACGTGATATGAGCTATTATTTTCGTTTGATTTTCAAGTAAATTTCATTGTTTATTTTGTATTTGTATTTAAGTGTAGCCCAATAATAATTGTATATGTGAGAAATAAAAACCTGTCATTAGTCAGTCAGGTAATTTTGTGACCATCAAAGGCATAAGCATTATATACCGCCTAGTATTTGATTATATCTTTGAGTTCCGTGGTTTTACATAATTTAGTTACGAAACTCTTACACCAATGAATTTGTATTTTAGGATGATTCCGTCATTAATTTACTTAGCCCGCCTAAAGTTACCAGTCAACAATAATTTGATAGTACTCTTTTACTTTTACGATATCAGCTTTATAAAACAAGACACAGTATGAATGAGTAAGCCAACAAATATTCGAGTCTTGCAAATTATGAAGCATCGAAGTTTTTTCAAGGGCTTTATTCGTATTGATTCGAGAAACGCTTTAGTGAAGAGCAACCAATTAGTTCCACTGCGGTATAAGCAATCTAAAACTTTTCAACGAGAAATAACCATTCATATGAGTTTCTGCAATTTTCATATGCGCGAAATGCTCTCGAAAGTTTGAAAATGGATTGACATTATAAGATTCATTTTTAAAATAAATATATACAAGTTAAAAATACCAATGTAGTCGGACCCGACCCTATTAAATGCGGTTTATATGTGTTGCAAAGATTTGTATCCGTAGTTTTCTCAGCTACTACTCTACAACTAACTTATTTACAGCGTTAAAAAGGAAATAAAATACCAACGTCAAAAAAATGCATTCAATATGGTTATGTTAAATGAAATTAAGAAGAAGACTGTTATTAAGAGACGGCATAATTTATTTTGCAATCTCAAATTAGTTGCACTCGAGTTGAATTTCGAGTGTTTCAACGCTATTTTTGAGAAACAGCATCAGTCCTACAAGATTAGAAACTGTACACTCCATGTGAAAAAGAGACCTCATTAAGATTTGATTTATTTGTTCCATCAATCCCTTTGTTTTACTTTCGTTAGAACCGCTTTTGTTGAAATGAAGAAAACAAGAATACCGTTGTCAGGGATTTTCAAATCGTCTAATCAACCTGGGATAATTGTTACCCAAATTTGCTTTAGATTTTTCATTAATATAACGTACACTATCTCAAATGTGTTGACGCTCAGCAAAACTTCAAAAAAAATTTAAATGCGCACGAATGTGGGAGAGAAGCAAATACGACCCAGGCGGGGTGGAGATTCCATGTCCGAGTGGTTACATTCTTTGTACTGCCGATGAAAGCACATTAGTCAGAATGGTGGGGGTTCAAAACACTGTCATTTACAAATTTGAAACACGGAGGTATTATGTGGGTATTGCTTGTCTTATTATCACTAAAAATGTCACATGTGTAATCGCAATGGCGTGGTTGGAAAGTAGTGTCACATAGAAGGCCAATAAAAAAAATTTACATAAGGCAATAGGAACTTTGAAGCAGTTTGTTGTCATTCAATAAAGGTAAAATATTTCGTCTTTCTTTTTTTTTATTTAATATCAATAATGTGATAATCTTTAATGACACGGCGTGACTTGGCAAAACCGAAAATAGAGGTTTCCATTCGCGTAGACCAAGGCTGCCCAACCCGCGCCGGAGTGTTTTTTGCGGCCCGCCCTATGAAGTTTGTAAGCAGACTTTTTAAATTTTCACATACATTTTACTATACATAAGTATCTTTCGTGATTTTGGTGTAATTATTCCTGCCATCTATCTACGTTCAAATGCCGGTTTTTATTATTACGTATGTGTCAAGTCTTGCACCCTGGTGGACATCAACGTCATTTTTATTTTATTTCTCGCAAAACTGTGCACTCTGTTCGACGAACTATAAAGATATTGTGCGATCATTGGGGACAATCGTTGAGCGCGAATATAGGAATGAACCTGAAGCCTAAGTTTGCAAATTAATTTCATTCTGATTGCTTTCTTTCGTGTCGGCTTCGATCGTCTTTATCGCCAACGTAAAATAAAAAGTCAACAATATCTTGGGTACTGGTCCGCGAACTCGTTGTCTTTTTATGTTTGTACTTTTGTTCATGTTATGTTCGCGTTAAATAGGATTTTGGAAATGTCGTCACTGCGTATTCGTCAATAATTCTGATGAAATTGACGTAATGGCATTGCTACTAATTAGTCACAAATCAGTATATATCGACTATTCGTTCAGAAATCTTCGTTACTTCATTAAATACTTGTATTGGTGTTTCTAATTTTACGAAACGGCCCAATAAAACTTGATATTGCCGCGACATTGACGCACATTATGCTCATTTAAACATTAAAGCAGTATCGTATAGTTACTGAAATGAATGATTAAAAACACTATAACGCAAATATAACACTCAATTTTGACGTGATGTGTGTGTTTCTTGCGTGGTCGCCAAAAAACCGCAAGTGTGTTGTGTAATGATTGATTCTTTGATTCGATCGCCCGAGAGTGTTATGTCTACGCCCCGTTTACCAGATATTCGAATAGTAAACCGCTATTCTAATATTCGAATAATTTGTCAGCCCTAACCAGTAACCAGAAAGCCATTATTAATTTGATTGATTTCATGTTAATAAACTCGCCTTTTATGTATTATGTAATTACCTACACCAAAATCAGGACTTAATCAGGATCTGGTATTAATGTTTGGTACAAACGTTTGCAGCCCGCGACCGATTTAGTCACGTAAAAGTGGCCCGCGAAACGAAAAAGGTTGGGCAGGCCTGGCGTAGACAATGATAAATATGTGTTATATGTAAATAGACAAAATGAAGCAGCCATGAATAAAAATGTTTCCAGAAAACTGAGAAAATAAAATATAAAAATATGGAGTTCAGACACTTGATAATCAAAGATTCATTTTTTTAATTCAATAGTTGAAAAATATCATCTGTGGTTAAAAGCAATATCTAGAAGAAAGTCTCATAAATAAAGAGCAACTATTTTTAGAAAAGCCTAAATATTTCCGGATCATTTAGTTTGCCCAACTTATTACACACTGGGCTAAGGTGGTTAAAATGGTATTGAACAATAAATTGGTTTTTTAGCACCATCTGCAATAAAAACTTTCCAACGGCCTGAGACAGTTTTAAAGCAATGGGGAAACATTTTATAGTTCAATATATTCACGAAGCAAATTTCCTACTTGGGAATTAACACGGGTGCGATTCACGCGCGTGTGGGAGTGTGAATGCAATAGGCACTCTGGCAATGAGCACCTTTACTTACGATGCTTGCTTCGCAAAACACAGTATGAATACATAAGCTACTCAGTGCAGTGGATCGATCATCCACGGCAACTTAGCACATGTCTGTACCATTGTGTATATTTCCCGAAGCTGTCATGATATCGATGGAGGGTCAATAAATATTCATGTCTTGCAAATTATGAGACATTAAAAAAAGTTTCATTATATTCTTCAGGCGAGATGAGTCCATAGTAGTGGAAACGTATTTGAGTTTATTAAAGGGATAAATGTGTCTTGAATTGATAAGTATTATAGAACTTTTCAACAATAAATATACACGAAATGCAAATGAAAACTTGAAAAAGGGAATTTATTAACATTATAAGACGCCCTTTTGAAATAGAGTTGGAAATATCAATGCAGTCGCGTCCGAGCATATTAATTGAGATAAATATTTGTTATAAATTTTTTTTATCCAGTTGTTTTCGCTTCCACTAGTTACAACAACAACTAAATTATTTACAGGTTTAGAAAGTCAATAAAATACTGAAGTCGTAAAAATGCAGCTCTCACATCTTATGTGCTTTCTTTGTGTTGTCCTGTTCGCAAATTAAATCTTGAAACTGAGAATGAATGCTCACTTACCCTAACTAGAAGGTGTCGATTGGAACATGGTAACTTTGTAAGAGCGAATATTTAATAAAGGATATTCAGTTGAGCAAGAAATCACGACTTATATAATCCATAGTGCAAACAGAAGAAGTCCAATTCCTTTAGTCCAATAGTTCTTTTTATCCATCTAATTTGGGTCCACCTCAACATCTTAAATATATAACAGTTTCATCTTGCTTGCTCTTAATCGAGTTTTGCACAAGGTTATTTTGGATGACTCAGCAACTGTAGGTTTGTAGATCTGTGTGGTATATCAGTCCAAGTTAATCTTGATCCTTTTACTTAATAATCCTATGGTCGAACATTTCGATGTGACCGTGAGCTAGAGCAGCTGGTCGTAACCCTATTTCTATCGGTGGGGTGCGCCCAAGGTCTGTAGGAATTTTAATAGACAGGCCAATCCACAAAATTTGTGAACTACAACGCGATCAAATTATCAGTCAAATGATCGTCTACAAATTGGATAATAAATTGCTGTAGATGTGGGGAGAAAAAAGTTGGTGCTGAATTTCTTCGAATCGGTCCAATTGCTTGATTATTTATCTCAGCTCTTGGCCCGGTACACTGGCACGTTCACCCCCTGGAATTTGCAATGTGAGTGTATACTATGTAATGACTGATATTTCAGGAAAAATTATACCACGCTTAGGAATGTCTGAGTGGAATGTAAAAAAGGATTCTGTTTTGTACTCGTTTAATGAAGAGTTCGATTTTCTAGTACTTTTGAAATTCGAAAAACATACCTAATTCGTTTTGAATAAACAAGAAGTGGAATCAATGAATGATCTTATCTCGACTTATAGTGTTCTACAATATACAATGCTGTGGTGCAACAAACGTCATTAATTAGACATTGGGTTTTTGTGGCGACAGAATAACTTATGAATCAATATCTTGCAGTTATCAGTTTAATGAATGTAGAATTCTTTAGCAATTTTTGTAGAAATGAAGAAATTACGACCAAATCCAATGTCTCGCGCAAATATATTTTCCTACCTATCATATTGGTGAGTAATTTAACATTTACGGTTTACGATATGAAAATTTCAAAATCTTCAGATTAGCTTTTAATCAGACATTGAATAAATATTCTTATGTGATAATTCTTCAAGCGTAATCATATATTATTCGTTTTCTAATGAGGCGTAATTACTTCAGTTGTTTGGGAGGATTGCTTTTTGGCATTGGAATGAAGTATATGTAATCTGTAAATGTCAATTTATTGTATTTGTAATGTAAAAACAGAATTCGAAATATTCACAACAATAATTGGTAAAATCATACAATGTCATAAATAATGTAATAGCATCAACATTTAATCAGGTGGTTGAACGATTTTTTTGCTGAAGGATTCAAGCGAACCTTACAAGAGTCTGATATGTTTGAACTTGATGCTTCCAATATGTCCGCAGAAATAACAAGTGATTTAGAAAGGTACGTTTAGAAAAATAAAGTAACTCATTTCTTGTACTCAGATGATGGGCAGTGCTGGTGTAATCCCAAAGTGGATGGAATACTAAGCATGATTGTATATTACAAAGCCACGCGCACAATAAATGATATTTCATCTGTCAATTTTCTTCAGAAATTGGGAGAAAGAAATTCAAAGAACTAAAAAAGCAACCGAACCGAGTTTAATTCGAGCAGTAGCAATGACATATAGAAGGCGGTATATGTTTTGTGGTGTTTTAGTTGTTATACAAGTGAGTAGTGAATATTTTGATTTATGTAATTTTCAATTGAATAGTTCTGTCGCCTTTTAAGTTATTATTTCCATATTTATAAAAATTCATTAGATGAATAATTCATTGCAAAACTTGAATTTTTTTATGTGTTTTACACTTACAACTCAAATGTTATCAAAATATAGACAAACTTGTTTGTTCTAGGAAGGTCTTCGATTAGCAGTACCAGTCTTGATAGCATATCTCGTTAAATACTTCGAGAATCAATCTGTTACTCCAGTTTGGCATGCATATGCTTGCGCCGCTGGGATAAGCGTCGTTACGATATTATTGGTTTTTATTCATCATCAATATTTTCATGAAACGCGTACAATTGGATGGCTTATGCGAGCATCAACCTGTGCTTTGATGTATAAGAAGGTAAGATACTTTCGTAAACTAATAATTAGTCGTGTATTTACCTTTAAAGAATTTAAAACTTTTTATCGAATGCCTATAGTCTTTTATTTCATCGAGGGTATTATATAACAATATCGTTCCCCACGTGTTCTTGTACTCCTCAGATACAAGGTATAGTTTTAGCATTCCAACTATCCCTATCGTAAATTGATGAACCATCAAAATACGATTATTCGAGCTTTTTAATGGTCAAGTAACATCTAAAAATCACCTTGTTTTACCCTCTATTTACAGTAATACGTTTTTGTGCAAAGTCATGTTCTTTCAATTTTATAATTACAAATGCTGTCGATATTTAATCGCATACAGATTCGTTTTTCAGACACTTCGCTTGAGTCAGAAATCATTGAATAATACAACGACAGGTAAAATAGTTAATCTCGGAGCCACTGATGTTCTTCGATTTGATCTGGTGAGTAAATGATGTCAAACGCTCATCTAAAATATCTGAATTGTTTGGATACATATATATTTCAAGCTTGTGACCCAATAAAAATTTTCTTTTTGTTTTTCAGCACGTTAATGACGTTCATTAGAAATAAAAAAAAAAAAAAAAATAAGTAAAATAAACATATATATGAAATGTAGACTTGTAACAGACATGGCCAGTCAAGATCCGGCCAACTGTGGCTCCAATAAGCCAATAAACGCAGCAAAATGACATCCAATTTCGATTCCAAGATTTGGATTCAGATAACAGGCTAACCTTAACTGTATTTTCCAACTCCATATTGGCAGTTGTTTTGTAAAAATAAAACTCTTGGGTAAAATTGTTATACAATCAAAATGAACGTTCATCAAAAAATGATACATGTCAATTCATGGATAGCATTTTATTTGCTAGTTGTAAAAAGGGTTTTGTACATATTACATGTATATGCTTATTCATTTAGCTCCCTATGTTTCTACATTATCTCTGGGTCGGACCGCTGAAATGTTTAATTGTTGGAATTATACTCTGGCAAGAAATTGGAATTGCTGTATTAACTGGAATGGGAGTCTTGATTTTGATTATGATTTTACAAACATTCTGCGGATGGGCATTCGGCAAATTCAGGTAACTGTCACCAAAAATCTATCACCCAAAAAATTTGAACACGTATTTCAATATTTGTGTCGTTTTCAGATAAATGTCCCACTTCGTCCATACAATTTTCTAGTTGTACGTTGTATTCTAATTCTTCAACATTAACACTATTTTCTGAAACACAGAAGTATGACAGCTGTTATTACAGATAAACGCATACGACTAATGAACGAAGTGATAACTGGAATGAGAATAATAAAAATGTATGCTTGGGAAAAACCATTTGCAAAACATGTTTTGAACACTAGGAGGTAATTACATTTACATTGGTTCGATAAGTCTATATAATTTGATACGCAATATAACGGAGAAACTTCCTGTGTAGCAAACGATGTAGGAAACAAACACAACGAGATTCAAATTTTCGTAACAGGGTGTCTCGAATTCTGCTTTGTGTGTATCATATGTTCCATAAGTAACGTGCGTACCATTTGTACCGCAAATATCGAACGTTATGGGTATCGATAATATCTTTCTGATTACCTGCACCATTTACATCTCAACTTGGTGTGGATGTATGCGGTACAACTGTTGCGAGTGGTTTTGAGTTTTTTAAGTGGCAAAAAGGGTACACAACTCATTCTATACGGCAGTTGCCATATGTTACGTAAATTAATTTTTATTCTAGAAACTGTGCTACAGTTTTAATGGATATTATCCCATATGTGTACCAATTTTGTTTTTCTTTTCTCGAACCAAATTTCAAACATAATATTCGTGATGCAATTGTTCTGTAGGAAGGAAGTTCAAAAAATTCTTCTATCATCTTCATTGAAAGCTTTTAATTTCTGCTTCTATGCATGCCAAGATAAAATACTGACTTTTGTTACGTTATTGACGTATGTTGCCTTGGGAGGTACAATAACAGCGTCGAAGGTATGTTATATGAACAAAAATTTCATAATCTGTACTAATATAAATCAAATTTTTATTGAACATAAAATATTGACCTAATTATACTAATAACTAAATAGGTTCAAAATCGGTATCCATTACAGTATAGTGTTATTACAATTATTACATTCTCTACTTCTCGAAGCTTTTGTGCAGTAATAATTAGGGCATGACGTCACAAAATCGAGTGAAGTGTTGAGTTTGCAAATCCGTGAATACAATTGTGAAATTCTCGGTAACTCGGTTACTCTCATCATACAACTCATTACTCGGCTCGGTATGATAATGGTTGTGGTATTGTTTTGCACAAGAAAACGATCAAATTAAAGTGAATTATTTATAATTAGTGCTTAACTCTCTATCAGGCGCAATTACATTCAAGTTCAAAGTTGTGTTGTACAAATTTTTTGGTACTACTGCAGTATGCGTATCAAAATGGCGGTCAACGGAACGTAGTATGTGTACCAGGTTAGGCCAAAATTTTATTCCAATTTTCTTTATTTTATTTCTATTACGAGTTCGGGGACTATCCATGTGACTCACGTAGTATTTGTACCTAAAATTATGTCCTAATCTGGTACACACACTACGTTCCGGTGTCCGCCATCTTGGTGCGCATATTTCAGCAGTAGCAATTTTTTGACATAAGGTTCCCAAACTGTGGGTCGCGACCCCGCATGTGGTCGCGTGACGATTTTCAACGGTTGCATGCGCACACAAGTGAGTATGTACACTTTAGGTTTTGATCAGTTGCGAAAGTGCTTTGATAATTTGCGCACGTGTCCAAAATCTACGAGTCGGTCGCGTGTTTTGTCCAAAACGCCTCATATTGCGTATTTAGTTGTTTCATACATACTTTCGAAGCGTTCCGTGTAGTCAAACAAACAACCCCAACAAGTTGTAGCATAATAAAAGGCATCTGGAAGATGTGATTCCGTACACGTTATTCTTATACTACTTTTATGCCCTGTTATATGTTAGAATTAATAATGGGGCAATCTGTAATATGATGGTAAACTTTTACTAAAAATAATAAAGACACTGTTGGAATATACTAAATATTATTTAAAGTTTATGTATATTTAGAAGCATCTTACTATTTCCGATGTATCGTACGCTCTCTTACACTCTACCACATTCTATCAAGTCCGTCTGTGTTTCGCCAATGAACCGTTAAAATTCTGATCCAAGAGATTTTTACATCGTGGTTTTCATACGACGCCTTGTGTTATGAAATTACTTCGAAGTTTTACCGTTTTCCGGTGCATTGCCGGACTCGTTCGTATATTTTTGGGCCAATGTTCATCGTCAACTTCCATTTGCAATCGATATACAGGTACATTGTTTGAGGTAATTAAACTGATATACAGTACTGTTTTTTGAAGTTGCTCAACGTTTCTTGTTGTGGGGTCCCGAGTATCTGTGGGTTTTGATTTCATGAAAATGTGGTCGCGAAAAAAAAAAATGAAGCAATGCGTCTAGCATATTATGCTTTTAAACTTATTCGAATCATACACCTATTTTAGATATTTATAGTAATGGGGCTCAGCTCATCTTTGAAACCTTCTACTACTTGTTTCGCGCTAGCAATTGAATATATGTCAACAACTAACGTATCAATGAAGAGAATACAGGTATGTTTACATTAGGTCATGCGTCAATATCCTGGTAAACGTCTGGTATGATCATTCCTTTTTTAAATTATTTTCTTGTTATTTATATTTTATGTACGCATATGTACTCGTTATAATGATAATTATCAATACATTTATACCGTTATTTATTTATCCATGACAAAAACATACCCATTATTGTTTTATCTTATTTTATATGGTTATAAATATTACCTGTGGTAATCGGTCGGGTCCCCTTTCAAATCATGTAAAGAGAAAATTATTGTCAAATTGCCATTATCATTTAAATTTCAAATCTTTGTGTCATTGATATCACATTCATTTGTTCACTTCTTCAATAAGGCAAATTCGCACAGACGCGGCGTTGAATATCCATCATTGTCACGAGTATGTTGCTTGATTGTTCAATTCATTCGTTTTCTAAAAACAACGGATTTATTATCTATTTACACGGATAATAATTTATTATTGAATTCTTGAATGGTGTCTTCATTTTACACGCTGTAATGTACTAACTATTATGAACTATAAATAAAGAATATTGCATGACTATCTAAATAAAACATGTCATTACATGTAACCGTCTTGTTCGGGCCTTGTATACATTCTTAGATAGAGCACATTACGCATAAGGGTATGGCTAATGGTATTTAAAAGATCGGCTTGACTTAACTACGACATATGACTTTATAACGAAAGTGACCATTGCAAATATTTTGAGTTATATTAGTTTTTGAATTTGTTATTGTAGAGTATTAATTCCTATTGCACTGCTCATTTGTTTCTGAAATGACATTGAACACTTTTGTCAGAAATATTTGCTGATGGAGGAATTTGCTGATATTGGAAATAATTTAAGATCAAACTCCGACCAAGAAGTTTACGTAGAACTTGAAAACTTCACTGCCAAATGGGAATTGGTAAGAAGACAAATAAGGGATTTATAGTAATCGGCGAATGATTTGTTTTATATAGCGTTTTTGTGAATCCTCTCCTATGAGGCTCTGCGGAAAGTTTTCCACTGATACGTAACCATTTTTTCGTAAACAAAATGCATGAATTTCGCTACAAAATAGATGGTGTTTTATTTTTAATTTAAATTTGTTAATGTCATACGTTTATTAGGAAAGAAAAAGTGTTTGCGTTGAATCAGAAGTTTTGAGTAATTTAGTTATACTTGTTATAAGATATGAGAGTACTTATAATCGGGTATTGTGATAAATCATAATAATATTGAAGAAAACTTTTAAATGAACCGGATTGCAAGTTATATTCGGCAATGTTCACTTTGCTAAATCCATTCATATAAGCCCAAAATGTTTAAATATTGTAATCAAAGTTTTCCAATTTTGATTTTTTTTGTGCAGAATGATGATGCTAATGAGAGATTCGATATTGCGTTGAATTGTGTAAATGTTCGAGTAGAAGCAGGAAAGTTGGTCGCAGTTATTGGACCGGTCGGCTCAGGAAAGGTAACGAAACAAAAATTATTGTCCTTTTCTTCTAGAACGAATAGTCAAAGTAGGAACACAAAGAGGGTATATCATTTTAATTTAACTTAATTTTAAATAAACAGGAATCGCAAGTCACGAACGAACATGTTTATATACGAGTTCGAGACCACATTTGAAACAACTGATCAAAACTGCCAGGGAAGTCACACGACTGAATTTCCTTCAATAACAGTGAATTCTGTGCATAAACAAGAGTTTTGTTTCAGTCCTCGCTCTTGAGTGCAATACTCGGTGAATTACCTGCGGCTGAAGGGAGGGCTACAGTTTATGGAAATGTTGTCTACTCCAATCAAGTTCCTTGGATTTTCTCCGGTACTGTACGAGAAAATATTTTACTTGGCGCGGAATTCGACGAAGTACGTTACCAGGAAGTAATCCACGCATGCTGTCTAAATAAGGTACGAATGAATATCGCATAGTCTAACCGCATAACTCATTTGACAGTTGAAAACAAAATTCTGTCAGGTCACGCGAAGTTCAAATTTGTAATGAACAATGATGCTTCGATATTGTTACCCTAATGACTAAATGAAGGAAACGACAATGACGAATAATAAGATTTTCCAGATTTTATTATTTTGATTATAATATATCATCTGGAGTTATTGTCTTCTATTTTGAAAGATGAATTTCTATCCGTTTATGTTAGACTGACAACAATTCTGGTCTTTTTAAAAATGTTCAATCAAACACCGATCTCAGGATCTCAATCTGCTGATTGATGGAGACATGACACTCATAGGCGAGAGGGGTGTTACTTTAAGCGGCGGTCAAAAAGCAAGAGTAAGCTTGGCTAGAGCTGCCTACGTAAGGAATGCAGATATATGTTTATTGGACGATCCACTGAGTGCAGTAGATATCCCTGTGGCAAGTCATATATTCGAACACTGCATCTGTGGAATGATGAAAAAGAAGGTAGGAGTTGATTTTTAAGTATATTATTATTACAACCAATCACCACATCAGTTGTTAGATTCAAAGTAATTAATTTAATTTGCTGATTGCGGTTCTAGTGAATAATTAATTTTCCATGAAGTATTCATACTTTTAGCTACATTACATACCATTGCGAACATTCAAACTTATATTATTCTTCTGTAGGCGCGAATACTCGTTACTCATCAACTGCAATTATTGAAAAGAGTGGATGAGATTCTCATTTTCAAAGAGGTTTTATGTTTTCATAGCGTTCATTTTAACTCAATATCCTATTATACACTTCCGGTTAAAAAAAAATGTTCTCATCGTCTTCCAGTGGAGACAATTATAATATTATATAATATTATAATCAGTGTGACATATAAAGCAATTCAATCATTTTTTTCTGTATCCATGTCCTATCATATTCTTGTCTAAATTGTATTCATCATTCAGGGAAGAGTATATGTTCGCGGAACTTATGCCGAACTTCAGGATAGTTCAGTTGATTTTGCTGTTTTGCTTAGGAAAAAAGAAGACAAAAACGAATCAATTTTGGGGGGTATAAGTTCTCATTCATTTGTATGATAAAAAATGTTTTTAATGCAATAAGAATAAAATATAACAAACATTTTCACTAGCAATGACAATATTTGTTTATTTTGATTTACTTAAGCAAAACGACAAACAGTTACAGAATCCTCTATTAGCTTGGTAGCAAATTCACATGACTCACCACAAACATCTATAGTTCCAGATCTATCAATCGAAGAAAAGGAGAAAGAGGTTCATATCATCTAATACCTTTTTATTTTTAAATTGCTGGTTGTTACGTTTAGCATCACCGCCTATAGTAACCAGTTCTCTCCTATATAATCTGCTGAATAGAATATATTAGATATATTTTTTTTTTCAAATTTGTTTGTAATTCATGGTTTTTTGATGAAGAAATTCATATATTCTCTTTTATATATGAGTTGAGTAATGTTCTGTTAATCAAATTACCTTCTATGCAAAAAGTTAAAGATCAAAATGTGAAACCTCAATTTAGGGAGAATCGAGAAAGATCAATGCAGAGGAAATAAGAGAACAAGGAAGTATTGGAGGAAAAGTTTATCTCGAATATTTCAGAGTTGCGGCAAACGCATTCTTACTCGTTTTATTTTTTATTATTGTTATAGTGAGTCACGTGCTATACATAATGAACGACTGTTGGTTATCAAAATGGTGAGTCTACTTATTCCTCAGGGAAACATTTTGCTCCAGCTTGGTCAGTTGGAGTAAATGACAATTATTTACCTAATGTATCGGTTAATGAGTTTGGCGTGACTATGTGTAATTCTCACATGCTGCATATTTGCTTATTTCCTAGAACTCCTAGAATCTATTTAACAGCAAAACATTACCACTTGTGCATTTTATTCCTTGTGATAATATATCAACAGGACAACGTCATATCAAAAGTATCTTTCAAATTTCTCATCAACGATTACAGAATCTTGTTCTGGAACAGGACAAAATGAACTGTCTAAGGATTTTAATACGACTACCTCGTTTACAAGTGTTAACAAAACAAGCACATTTGATACTAGCTATTACATAAAGATATATGCAGGTAATCTAGAACAGGGGTGTCAAACTCGCGTCCCGAGAACTTCCAATGGGGCCCTTGATCGCTTAACAATAATTGTAATATTTTGTAAGTTTTTTTTATCTCAATGTCATACATTTTTCAAACCTTTTAAAGTGAAACTGATTATTCACACAGAAAATTTAGTGATAGTAGTTTTGGAATAAAATTTTGTTTTCAATTTAACCCAATTAGAGATACACCTCAAGCTATCAAACGAATACTTGAATAAAACACTTCAGGAATTAAATGAAACGCAAAGTACATATAGAAAAGTGCATTTTTGAAGGAAAATGGAAGTTGCAATTTTTGCATTTCTCAAAATTCTGAAGCACATTTAATTTAGTTTAGTTTAATTTGTCACATTTCCATCAGTACAATGAAAGAAAACAATATAAGTAGACATTATCAGAATAAGCTCAGCAGTCAATATGATAAATTTAAAGATAAACTTCGAACAGAAAATGTTATGTTCGGTTCGTATATTATTATAATTATACAACTGCCTATAGTTACTAAAAATCGATATCAATCATAACTTAAGCGGTCCTATGCCACGTAATGATAGGAAGTGTCGCGAAATTTCTGGTCCGAAAAGTCAGTCATTTGTTTGCCTACTGATCTATACATGAAATGATAAACGTAATATTTTTGCATTACTGATATTAACAGAACATTCTCAACGATCCAGATTAACCGATGATCATGTGACCTCGTTAAATAGAGTTGGTACTGTAAAATCATTTCAGCCTGATATTAGAAAGCAGGTGGCACAAAAGAGATGCCGTACGTCAGGACATATATATATATATATATGTGATGAAAAAAAACATTGAGTTTATTCTGTAGTATTTTTGTAAATTTCAGGTCTATATATTTAGATTACGGTTAGTCATTTTTAGTATGTATTATTCTTTTCCTTAAAAAACTATTTGCAAAAATGTTTTGGATAGTTGTACATAAAAATTTATGATTTTTGGTAAAAAATACTGCAAATTGCAATTATAGTGAAATGCAAAAATTAAAATGTAAATTCATTGAAAATTCAAGAAGATAACAAAACTTCATTCAGCTGTTCAATTGCATCCCAAATCAAAATATATGTCACAATATACATTATGAAAATATATCAAAACTGTTTGCGGCCCTTTCACAATTCCCAAATGCAATGCGGCCCTCGAAAACCCACGAGTTTGACACCCCTGATCTAGAACATCATTGTCGTGGACATTTGCTTATCTTGATTGAGTAGGGAGATAGAGCGGAAACTGGTTAAAGAAAATTCCAATATTTGTAAATAAATAATCAAACTAATGCAGGAGACATAGTTAACATACACTATTTTTTAGTTCTTTCGCGATGGTGTTTTTGATTGTGTTGCTTCGTGCAAATTTATTATTTGTTACTTCCGGTATTCACATGCATAAGAAGATGTTTAAAGCAATCCTACGAGCCCCGATCAGATTTTTTGATACCAATCCATCAGGTGAGCAGGCATTTTCCTATTTATTGCTTTTATTGGACACGATATGTGCATATGGATTGTTTTGGTATATTGTGTTATGTTTTCTATTATGAATTCTTTTACATGTTCTTGCTCTCGACTTGAAATTTTTCAGACATTCAAAATTGTATTTTTCGCTGAAAGCTATTATCTCTTTTATTTAAAAAAAATTCTTGGGCTTAAGGGATTCGTTTTTTGTGTGCATTGACGTCATCGAAATTAAAAATTGCTCACGTTGTGGCGGTTCCGTGTGTGCGTGGGCTATCTGGTGGTCAGGCGGTACCGGTAGCTTACTGTGACAGATTGCATACCCGTACTACTTCGTTCTGGCTTCCGTGTCCATATATTTGGAAATCACTCTCATGTATTGAAGAGAATTGATTCTGCAAATTGTTAGTCAAATGTAATTTGCGCGGTATTTCACATAAAGCTACAATTTATAAAAGCTTTATTCTGTTGATGATTTAGGAAGAATCCTAAACAGATTTTCCAAAGACATGGGGCAGATAGACGAGCTTCTGCCTATCACATTCGTTGATTTTCTGTGGGTGAGAGGAAGAATATTGAATTTCAAATCGATTTTCCGTTCATGATAATTTTCTGATTTATTTTCATCCATAGCATTGACTGTTTGTGAGCCATCTCATCTTCAATTGGAACTTATTTAATAGCGTTTGCATTAACTATTTTTTATTTGTACTTGACTAAACTGATAAATGTCTGCACAGAAAAAATTATTGATAAATAAATTTTAATATTTCTCTTTGGAAATTTCGGAAATGCCATACTGACAATATAAGCAGTAATTTAAGAAGATACTGTTTCTTCTGTATAACAGGATAGCACCAATGGTAAACCTTTCTACAAGGACAAATCGTCGAGTCATGATATGAGTACTCATTATTTTGACAATTGTAAATTTCTGTTACTCTGACCTGTCTTTTATCAATTTTCAGATTTTTGGCGCGATCGTCAGCGTTGTAATCCTCACATCTGTTGTTAACTATTTTGTGATCCTTTTGAATATTCCATTTGTCATTTACTTTCTCTGGCTAAGAAGCTATTACTTGCGTACTTCAAGAGATATAAAAAGACTAGAAGGATCTTGTAAGGAAGCATTGAATAGTTCAAACAATTAACAAATTTTAAAAATCACACAATCACATTGTAACAGATAGGATTTGGAGGGAATTTTGAAAACTTATACAGACCTGCAAGCGGGCAACTAGTTGTTGAAATAACCTAGTTTTCCTTGTGATTGGGCACTCATGTTTAATTTTTCAAACGATGACATGGAAATCTACAAATAGAATCATTTAATATTTTGTCTAAAATAGTTCAATCAGCAATCAGCAGATTAGCAGCATTCTTATTTGTTTATTACATGTAATTTTACCCAGGCAGGAGTCCAGTCTTCAGCTTGCTATCATCAACTTTACAAGGTTTACTCACTGTTCGTGCTTTCGGTGTTCAACAACAATTTGAAGATAAATTTCACGAATATCAAGATTTACACAGTGGTATTTTTTATATTATATTCGTATTAATTATTACCGACATGTTATTCGATTATTTTTGAAGATGTGAAAGGGTTATTTTACAATAAATCAAAATTGAAGCTGTACAGATTCAATTTTAACAGTGTATAATATTGCATAAGTGAAAAAAAATTATAAGAATATCAATTTTTATTAACTCTAGTCCATTCGACACTACTCCACTCCAATTAGCTCTAAAACATGAATAAGAGAGCTATGCTCAAATATATGGACACTTAGAATAAAACGAAATATATTATCATCACTTCACCGAAAACCATATGGGTACCCTACGCCTTCGGTACGGTATCCTGCACGAATTTAAACAGTGAAACAGCTACATGGCTATGGTAACTGACTTACTAGTACATGGGTACAAATAACGGTACAGGGACTGTCATAGCTCTTTCATGTCCTGTAGTAATGATCTATTCTTCTCCATCCAATTTCAACGTGAAATGATTACCAAGTGATCCGTCACTTCTCCATTACGGTACCAGGCCAAAATAAGAAAAAAATATCGATCCCCCGATAATCATATGCGGTACGGTAACTTACCAGTATCTAATATTCATTCGCGGAACGGTTCTTTCCTGTCATATAAGAACTCAATTCATTCAAAAGGTAGGCTATAAAATTTATGTTGTTTACATCAGAACTGTAACGAAAAGATGAGAGCGTAATTCACAGAGGTACCAGTACGGTACCTTATCAGTACCTGTTGCTGTACTGTAGGCCCGCTATTTGATCGTGGAACGGTTCTTCTCTGGCATATAAAAACTCAATTCAATTTGCTCTTATCAAAATTAACAAACACGGTAAGCTAGATTTGCTAGAAAACCTACATTTGACATTACTGCAATAGTAAGATCGCGAAAAAAATAAGTCAATTTCACTGTGGTACGGTAACTGAGCAGTACCGTATCTGCAGGCTCGATCACGCAACCGCTTGAAATAAGTTTCAAAACAGTGTTCCCATGAGTAAATTTTAGAACAGCGAAATTTTGAAGGAAATATCAGATCTCATAGGAAATTTAGGAATAAATAAAAGTAATAGTCTTCTGAAAAATAATCAAACTTAACCACTGAAAATTTCGAAGCAATTGGTACAGTATTCGAAGAGAAAAACGATTTTATCATGATGATGAAGAATAATATTAACAACAACAACATAATATTGAAACGATCGTTATGTCCACTCAAGTGTCCAACAATACATTTAGGAGATTGAATTTATATATATATGATGATAAATGGACCAAAACATCTATTGAAAATCAGTTTTTATTCATGTAATACAAAATGTTACAAAAGGATCTTGCTGAATATATTTTTTGATAAAATTTCACAATAAATTCGGTATCATCTTCCAGAGTTTCGCGAACAAAAGCTTCGAGCTGATTATCTCATTTTACTGTTAGTGCTTATATTAGTCAATGAGGCTTGTCGTTGTCGTTGAAATACCAGCTAAATTTATCTTTTCTTCTTCCAGCGTCATGGTTTCTGTTTCTTGTTGGAACAAGATGGTTTGGATTACGACTCGATTTGATAACTGCTACGTTCATATCAGTCGTTACGTTTTTCACCGTGATTGGCGCTTCATTACTGAATCTTAATCCGGGTGAAATTGGATTAGTTTTAACTTACACGGCATCATTGCTTACTATATTCCAATGGGGAGTTCGTCAAAGTGCAGAAATTGAAAATTTAGTAAGTAGAAAAGCTTATTCAGAAATGTTCATAAAGAGTATACCCTTCTTTACACATTTCACATTCTTTCAAGCTTTCGATAATGTCGTAAGCACTTTTTTGGTTGGAAAATTTTATGTATACCTAATAGACCTTATTCATTAAAAACCCATTCCTACGCTCAAAAAGAAAACTGATGTGAAAAAAACAAAATTTAGCATTAGCTCTTATGGGGAATGTGATCACCAGAGCAGAAATTTGCATTTTTTGTAATTTTCTAGATATCTTTCATTGTATACGTGAGCAGTTTTAAGGATAGAATATTTTTTACATCGTTTTTGCTATTTTTATCATGATAAACATGGTCAAGATTTTTGATAATCGTTCATTGAAATTTTGAATGAGCGCGCTGTTTCCGATGACGTCTTTCTCACTAGACCACGAGATTCTGGCAACGCGCCGTGCTCTGTGGGACATGCGCTCCAACTGCTTGTGATAATAGAATACTGGAATACCGGTACCGGGACCACAACTGGCGTTCAACTAAAGACCTATTTTTTTCTTTTATTGGATGTTATATATTTCATGAATTCCATGTAACTAGGTACATTTCTGGTACACCTTTCAAAATCCAATGGCCTAACTCAGTTCATATGTTGACACCATGTACCTATCCGGGATAGGCTATCCCAAAATCGGTGATGTTCAGGGCTGGATTTAGACCATGAGAGGCCCCTTCAAATATTTGAGCTCATAATTTCTCTCTGAACAACACCACATGTCATTGCTTAAAATTTAAAAATATGAGTGCATTAAACTTTTTATTCTCCCCATTCATGGGTGTGAATTTTTAATTAAAAGAATAAAAATTTACTTGAGGCAGTTTTGCTTTCAATTTCTTTGATCAAACAACCGCCGCTACAGCCATACTTTAACATAGAAACTTCCAGCAGAATGTGAATAATAATAATTTTCCTCATTATGATGCAAACGACGCAATAATGGCTGTTTACAATATGGTTGAAACCAGTTGTGTACAGAATTTTCTACTCTGAAAACTGGAAAAGCTTGATATATATATACTTTCCGTAGAGTTTAAACTTGTCAAGTTTTCAAAAGAATTACAAACATCGAAACCGAATTTCGAACCGATGGTCCCTACAGCAAATTTCTGGCCCTAATCACTCAGCAGATTGAAATAAATGGTTTTCAGCATTTATTAGCAAAGATAGATATTTTAATTAAACATATAGTTCAACCTAAAGCCTGTATAATGATATTATAAATATATGTCCCATTATTACTGCATTGTGAGAAGGCTTTCCAAACTATCAAGTCTATAAGGGCGTCTTCCAATGTCTCCGATGAAAAATTCAGTCTTCATTTCGCATATTCTTTTCATTAATTCCATTAGCATTTGAAGCTTGACTGATTCCAATGTACCCTTTTTCATTGTTGTCCAATGTAATATTCTAAACGTGACTTCAACTTTTTTTCTCACTTCAATCATCACATGTTTGAATACCCGAGCTGACTTCTACTGAATTGTTATTAATTCACCATTTTTTTTATAAATTAACTGTCGTACTTGCTAAGTGTCCACAAAGTGAAAATCTACAAAAAAAAAGCAGTGGTTTAATAATGGACTACACTTTTAACCGAATCCAAAAATATTTGTTATTAATTTACAATTTTTTTTATAAATTAACTGTCGTACTTGCTAAGTGTCCACTAGGTGAAAATCTACAAAAAAAAAACAGTGGTTTAATAATGGACTACATTTTTAACCGAATCCAAAAATAATCCGTAATTTAGTCAACTCTTCCTCCAAGGAGTTTTTGTTAAATTGTTCAAACATCTTAATTAACTGTTAATCTTGATAGCGAACATGGGGGGCAGGAGGGAGCTGACTGTGATGGTCGTATCGCTCCCCAGTCTATACCGAATAACTGTGTGTTTTGTGTATACTTTTTATTGATTCAATGCTTGTATTCTGGTTGACGAAATAAATCTCCCTCTCGTATTCAGCAGTCATGTTTTCATGTTTCAGTCACGGTAACCTAGTTAGGAGACCGGTATTGTACCATTGGAGGTTGGAGATATTCATCTTTTTTGTATACCGGTACCGTACAACTTATCCTGCCTATTGGCAGGCTGGCCAACATTTTTGTTCGTAGGCCTATTTCAGTATATACTAAATAATTTAGTTTTCACCTCTTGCAGTCTTGGTACGGTACCGGTAGTTTAAATAACACGTCAGCATGCCTTCAGTAAATGATTGCTAGCTGTACAGGTATAAATGCGTAAAACCAGTAAACAAACGTGATAGAAATGGTATGGGTTATAGATTGTCAATGTTAAATGCTTCCAGTACCGGTACCGTACCCAAAGCGACATTAGCGCCGCATTTGCAGCGCATATCCCACAGAGCACGGCGCGTTGGCAGAATCTCATGATCTAGTGCAGGGGTTCTCAAACTTTTTGTGTTGCGGAGCCCTTGAAAAAGTTGACTATTATTCACAGAGCCCCAAAATAAATGTTAAAATTGTTACTTTCCGATTAATATCCCTGATTAAGTTAAAACTACTTTACCTAATTTAAACGCTAACCCCTTTTTAATAGGGTTAATACAAGTCATAAATAAATCTAAATTTCAAAGATAAATTATATATACTAAAGCTGTAAATTTGACACCTTGGCAAACATATTAATGAACTAGGGGCCGAATCTTGTCCCTTTTGACATTTTCGGAAGACCTAAAAGGTCGCTAATAACGTGCGCGATTGCATTTTGTTACAATTGCCGATTGTTTTCGTCAGCATGGCGTGTTTTTAAACCTTCAACATCTTTACGCCGGTGTTTATTCTCCCTAAATTGAAAATTTCCCTTGGCATATACATGTATTGTTCCACAATGACGACGATAATTGCTTTTTTGTTCTCGTGGGGAATTATGTGTTGAATGTGAAAAACATATTATGATCATCGGCGACTAAATGCTAAAAATAATACCTAATAAAGAGGTAAATCCGCAACTCAAATTTCTTGATTGGAAAGCTGCACTCTAAAATATTAAGACTAAAACTTAAAATGAAAGATCACACTATAAGTTTGGTTTCAGCAGATTTCAAAACGCTTTTTTAAACATTATTAATCACAAAAGTTGGTGTTATGTTAGGTTTTCTTTGGTTATTCGTCGTAGTAACTGCGAAATCAAAACACAGTCAATTGTGCGCGATGTATTTTTTTTCATTCTGAAACTACAGACGGAGCCGCATGCAATAAAATAAATTTCAATCGTTCGTATTTTGCCCAGACCTTGTGATTTTTCAAACGCGATATCTTGCTTAAAAATAATCTCGAGTGCGAAAAGACAAATCAAGTTTGACAAATCCCAAGATCGCAAAAATACGACTCCAATTTGTTCATAGTTGGCAGTTTATCACGTATTTTATGTTATTTTAGAATAGTATTCTTTCATTTTAGTAATAATAGTAATAGTAATCTCGAATCAAACGTGAGTAGCGATGAGCACAATTAAATTATAACGACAAGACACTTTGAATGCTCGCATCGGTCATGGATTGAATATTTTAAGCAACAGAAATCTCGTTATCCTTTTTTTTTAATCGCGGAGGGTGTTGCGCGGAAGTTTCCTATTCCAATTTTGAATCTCCTCCCTCTTAAGAATCCTGGCTTTGCTCCTGCTTATAAATAATGTCATTTTTTTAATTCCGCCTCTTTGGCATATTTCGAGGCTATATTGTTTTCAAATTTTATCAAGGCTGTTATTGCTTCTTTGAACAGTTACAAAATTAGCCAAGTCAGTATTTTAAAAGGTAATCGAATAGCTCGCCGAGCCTCTAGGTTTCTCTCGCGGAGCTCTGGGGCTCCGTACGGAGCACTTGGAGAACCTAAGGTCTAGTGAGAATGACGTCATCGAAAACAGCGCGCTCATTAAAATTTTAATGAACGATTATCAAAAATCTTGACCATGTTTTATCATGATAAAAATATCAAAAATGATGTAAAAAATATTCTATCCTCAAAACTGCTAACGTATACAATGAAAGATATCTAGAAAATTACAAAAAATGCAAATTTCTGCTCTGGTGATCACATTCCCCATAAGAGCTAATGTTAAAATTGTTTTTTTACATCACTTTATTTTTTGCGCGTAAGATGGGTTTTTAATGAATAAGGTCTATTAGCTGCCACAATATATTTATATACTACTGTGAATACAATATAAAAGGCTCAATGCTTCTTTGCAGCATCTTTCGAGTTATATCTATTGAATGCATTCTATATCTGTATAATACAATTGGAAGCAAATTGTTGGAAAAAGAGATAAACATAGAAAAAAACCCGTTGACAGTTATCCCATTAAGATGAATTTATTATAATCTTCGTGTCTGCTGTTCATTTCAAAGAACTCGGGCCATATTCACCATGATAAATTGATATATGTCCTTAGGGTAACCCATTTATTCTATTTTGCATTCCCTCGTTTGCTCTCAAAATAAATCTTTATTCTACTTGAATGTCTTGCAGATGATATCAGTAGAAAGAGTTCAACAATATTATCGAATACCACCAGAAGCCACGTTGGAGAATCCTAATAAACAACCACCAAACAGCTGGCCAAGATGTGGCGCTATCAAGTTTAAAAACGTTTCTTTTTCCTATTATGACGGTGGACCAGAGGTGCTAAGAAGTATTGATTTCGTAATACAATCACAAGAAAAGGTAAGTTACCTTTAAAACGAAGTTACCTATTTACCGAAGTTAGCGAATATTTTAAAATATTGATAGGACTCACGCAATGTTTATTCACCAATTTTATCCGTTATATTTTTTTTATCATATCCTAAGACTAATAAACTGTCGACCATGGAATATGGTAACACAGTATTTATTAATTCAACTTTTCTTCGTCTTTAATGAAACTTTGCTCAAAGTATAACGTTATAACAAGCTATTCCTGCAATGTAAATATTTGATACTTTTATTTATTCAAAAACTCTTTTCAGCCTATTGATGGTAATGTTAGACCACATCATTGAATATATTCAAATGAAAGATATGCGTTTGATGTATATTGAGAAAATACTTTTTGGCACAGAAAACGAAGAAAAGATAGAATCAAAACTCTTGACAGATAATCCAACTTGAATTAGTTGAACTGAGTTTAAAAACGTTTGTCGTAACTTAAAGAAGAAATGAATTTCAATGAAACAGAATTACCTAGGTTTTCTTCGTGACACTTTAAATGATTTGTGGAGATTGAGTTTTGAAAAATCCTAAATAATATAAATATGAAAACATTTTACCTTAGATTGGAATTGTCGGACGAACGGGTGCCGGGAAAAGTTCTCTTATATCAGCACTTTTCAGACTGTCGGAACTAACAAGTGGTGAAATATTCATTGATGGAATTCCCATATCATCCTTAGGACTTCATGATCTACGCAAAGCATTATCTATAATTCCACAGGTCTGAAGTACTATTTATATTATACAATATTATAAAGAATTCTGCCAAATTCGTTATTTGAAAGTTGACCTTCAATTCAAATTGATTCAAAAGTCAGCCACGGTTCCACCACTTTTCCGTAATTGGTCTTACAAACCGCGTGCTTTTTCAATGAACGTTAACTGTTGCTATATAAGAAGGCATACCCAAATGGAGTTGTTCACTCAAACTCAATTTCCTGAAATCGGAAACTTGCCTTAGACGACACAAAACCATGCACAAATACAAAATGCTATAGAAACTACAAGAAAATAACCATGACACCTTGGAAAGAAATATTGACTGACGATAAATTTGAAGCAATTAAAGTCCTCTAACATTTACAGAGTAATTCTTTCATTTTATAGGATCCGATCCTTTTTACTGGAACAATGAGAAGAAACATTGATCCTTTCAACAATTATTGGGATGAAGATTTATGGAAAGCATTGGAGCAGGTTTCATAAGTCACATAAGTCACAATAAGTCAAAGGCATTTTTTTTTTACTTGCGTTAATACAGAACCTTTTAACATTAGGCTACTGCATGCGTACAAGTGCTTTTTGAGACGAAATTTTCGAAAACAAAGTAGCATTACGCTAAGTGCACGGTTAGATAAACACAGTTGGTTTTACCCGAGCTATCATTGTAGAACTACCGACATACCTCTTTGGATGTGATTGGTCAGTGTCAGAAAGACTGCGGTGCATGAAAAACGTTTCGGAAAGTATAAAGATGACGTTTTCACCATATTGTACAAAAAACTACCAAACTAGACAGCGAACGTTAATGTATATATAATACGCAAATAAAGATAGCCATCATTTGAATAATTCTAGTTTGCCTAAAAACGCCACTATTCTAAAATTAACAACCGCGAAGTACATAGAATATGATTGCTTAATCATCGAAACATAAGATATCATATTTTTCTTCGTTTTGTAAGGTTCAGTTGAAAGAGTTGGTTGAATCTTTTCCTATGAAACTGAACACAGAAATCGCTGAATCGGGATCTAATCTCAGTGTTGGACAAAGACAACTTGTTTGCCTTGCTCGAGCAGTTTTGAGGAAAAGTAAAATTCTTGTGATCGATGAAGCAACTGCAAATGTTGATATCAGGTATAAAAATGGAAAACTAATAGATATTAAATTATAAGTAAATATGTTGATCTTTCATATGAAGTTGTCACCGATACACCCAATATATAAATACGAACGACACACTGGAAAAGGGAGCACTACCTGGGATGGCAGTTGACAGTAAAAATAAATTGTAATCAGTTCAAATTAATAACTAAATAAGTTCGGTCAACCAATTTACCGGTTAACTATTCTCAGCGATACTCATAACGCATTACCGTGTTTTTCTTCGTCTTTTCATGCAACAGTCACAAAGTCATTAGTTGAAAACAGCAAACATGACTCACTAATTAACCCTTGTTCTCTTTCTGAATCTTCGTTTTACTTTTAGGACAGATCGTCTGATTCAAAAGACGATACGACAAAAGTTTAAGCAATGCACTGTTATAACTATTGCTCACCGATTAAATACAATAATAGATTCAGACAAGATTTTGGTAATTTCTTTTTATTTGACGAAAATCGGGCGCCGATTTTACTAGTTTATAAGTTATTCAAAATTACTTGAAATTCGAGTGTCAGTTTTCATACAGTAAAAAAAAATTCATTTGTGAATACAATTTAATTCGATCGATCTATAGGTGCTGGAGGAAGGACAAATCAAGGAGTTCGACAAACCAAATGTTCTTTTGCAGAAAAAGGATGGCCTATTTGCTAGCATAGTGAAAAGCGCTGGTCTGTCTACAGCAAAATCAAATTTCGAATAGTACAGGCTACAAAAGTGGCAGCAATCAATGTATTTGTTCATGTTTTTAATTCTATTTCATTCTTTGCACATATAAATGCTTGATATGAATGATATATATTGTGACGTGCATAAGCATGCTATTACATTTTAGAAATAAATCGTATATACTGAAACTCTTGGGTATAACCTTGCACAAACACAAGTTCAGGCGCAGGCAAAATTAAATATATATATTTTTTTCATCTTCGTAAAAGTGTTTATGGGTTCTGTTTTGTTTTGAGTTATAGTTTTGACTTTTTTTGGACCTCCTGAAATATGCGCACCAAAATGGCGCACCAAGATGGCACCTGAACTCAAGCTGTGTACCAGGTTAAGGTTGTGCGACATCTTGGTGCGCATACTTCAGGAGCACCTATTTTTTTGGTAAATAAGTCCGCGTTTTCACAGATCCTATTGCCTATTGACCTTAGGCAAAGATTTCGATCTGACTGTATGCCAAAGTAGCGTTTCTTAATCGTATACCTAACGAGATGGGTTAGACAAAAATTTATGAATTTGAATAGGGGGGTTTGCTTCAGCTACCCACTAGATTGGTAGAGTTTTTAAGATGTTTACGAGAGGTTTTGATGTACGGACTGCGTCATCCGTACCCTTATTAGTGCAGTCGTTTTTAACTTTTTTGATGCAGCAGAACCCCAAAGAAACATTCTAGACCAGGGGGGTTCAAATCCAGGCCCGCGAGTCACATGTGGCTCGAGGCTTCATTATCTGTGGCCCGTTCGCATTGGGAGAGTAAGTAAAAATCGCCTTTAGTGTTGTTTCGTCATAAAATTAACGTCGTGTTTCGTCATGTTCTTGGCAGTATCAATTGTTATCTGGCTTTCTATCTTTTTGGTCGGGATTATATGGTAACATTTTTGGCATCGTAGAGAACTTAAAATTGAATGCGGATTCTATTAGCCTAGTTTGGCTATGCCTGATAACAAAATGGCAAAAGTTTAGTTCCAACCGCCCAAAACCAATTTCATCCCATAACTTGCGTCGCTCTACACGGCCATTGTCCGTTTGTAACTCACCGAAGGGCTGAGTCAAACATCGAACCGCAGACTCGATTCCGGATATAGTATGAGTGTAAGAGCTGATTCTACTGTGCCCCATGTCCCACCGTGATCCACCTTCCCCTACTGTACAACAAAATACAGCAAACCTCAAACCTATTCAACCAATATATGAATAAACCTAATCTAAAATCCCCACCTAAGAATCATTTGGTAATATAACTAAAAAATGGGAAAAAACTATCAACATTAAAGTCTCACAAAATGCTCCTTAATCCGTAAAGTGCAACGAGCGTCTACCCCGTGGCAAGGAAAATTCTAGAAGGCCACAATGCGCGGCGGAATAAGTCACTTGTTACGTCACAGTAAATATGGACGAAGTAAAATCATAAAGCGAGACTAATTTGACAGTGCTTTGAAGTAAAAAACTTAAGGTTCCATAAAATGGGCTTGCAAACATTTCGTACAGTTAATAAAGTGGCCCGTTGGTGCAATGCGCCCATCAACGATAAAAAAAATTCAGATGGGAACTGCAAGCGATTAATTGTATTTATGAAAGAAGCTAAAATGAATTTGAAAGAGTACAATCTGACTCATCGCACATAGTTTAAATTAAATATTTAACAAAGTTACCGCGTACATCGTTATATTTACGTAATCCTATTATTTTAAAGTTTTCTACTCAATTTCTTCAGAGCCAATTAAAATAAAAATAATTCCTGACAGTTTCCTGATGAACCAGGTACCAAGTTGGCGCTGCATTTTTAAAACGCTAATGCCGAATAAATGCAAGTACGTAAGCCGAATAAACGTAAGTTCAATGAAGTTTACGTCGAGTTCAAGCACATTTACATTACCCAAGAGTGAGTCTATTTCTCATCCATATAAACAAATTCGATCGACAAGAGCAAAATATGAAGATTGATCAATTTTTCATCATAAACAACAACTGTAATTTTAGAGCTCACTGTTAGGTGCGGACACGTATGAATTAGTAAAAAATAGGAATATTAAAATAATTATTAGAAATTGCGTCATAATTGACTAAATCAAATTGTATTACTGAATTATAGCGAAACACCATTGTAAATAATTCTTGCCGAAAACAAAAATATATTTTTCCAGAAATAGGTCACGTGTCATACATCTTTGGCTGTATGTATATGACACTGTATATATGCATAATTGGTGGGCTCTATATGTATAGGATTTGGCTGTATGTGCTAGATAAGATTGTTAACGTGGTATACAAATAGGGTCAAAATATGAATATACGCCAACTCATATAGATATAAAGCCAATGCCAAGTACAGCCAACTAGATATACACCTATAATCATTTGAGTGATGTACATACACAGTCAATGCGATAAGCACATACATGCAATGTCATATGGCATACACATGCAATGATTTCAAAATGCCAGTAAAATGTTACATCGTGATTCAAAAGTGTATGATTATTCAACAGTCATTTAAATGGAAATTTAATCTTGTAAGATGCAATTTTATACTTATTACTTGTAACTAAACTATTATTTGACTATTTTACTACATTACAAGATGAAAAGTTGGAGTAGATGAAACTTTCTATTTACGTAGTGTAATCAATCAATCAATCAATCTTTTATTTGTCAACACTAGAAACAAGCATATAGAAAACTGTTACAACAAACGAAATATACTGATCATGTTAACTGTGTGACTGGAGTCGCGAGGGACCTATAAAGGTCTTCGAGCAGCGACACCTAGCTGATGCAGGTCAGTATAAAAAAGTAACTAAATGAGACACAACTACTGAATACCAGTAGTTGCGGCAGTATACATAATTGAGGCTACTGTGCAGATTATTTAACAAAATAGATATATAACTATCACGAGGGAATGCACTGAAGAGAGAAAATGAGAGGACAACAAGAAAAAATGAAGAAAAACTTAAAGAGAATGCAAATTTGGCAAATGTAAAAAACTAAGAACCATGGAAAACGAACAATAGGCACAAAATATTTCTAACAAATACAATTTTGAAAGCTTATAGAGGACTTGCACGGGTCACGTGACTTTGTTACTGGACGGCAATAAAACAAAAACGTCCATTTGGCTCCTGTCAGTTGCAAGTCGGATTATACGTTTCCGTTTTGTTTGGCTGTTGAAAATGGTTATTTCGTATTGTTTCGCTGGCTGTACGTATAGTATAGACAACGAAATGGATCTTCAGTTATAATCCACTGTTTTCAAAAGATCCGGAACGTCGCGCAATGTAGATATCATCTATTGGCAGGACTGCTTGGTGTCAAGTTCAGAAGCCATCTCACTTGTGTTTCACTGTTTGCGGACAGCACTTCCTTGATGGTAAGTCATAATGTGCCGTTTTCAAATATTCGAATTTTTCGAATATTCATAAGCTCCCTCATTTCAATGGAAAGCAGATGACAAACTACTGTTATTGGTAGGCCTAGGCGTAGGCCTACTTGCAGACTTGACTCGTGTAAGGTATTAATCAATAATTGCCATAAGGTATTGTTTCCCTAGTTAGCAGGTAATCTATTAGTAAGTGTGAAAAGTTGAATAGATAACTAAAGTTTAACGCCACTGCTAATGCAAAAAAAACAGAATTAAATTGAATTCTCCATCTAAGAATACCCTCGCCACCGCATCTCTGATACCCCTGGGAGTTTCACAGGTTCCAATCCCATGCGGGGATAGTTATGTGCGAGGGGATTGCAGCTCTCCTCCCACTGAGGGTAGTTCACACGACCGCTGGTCGATTACGACATCCCCCACCATCAAGTCCATGCTTCTAAAACAAATATTTGGCTTACTAATCCCGACATAGAATGGTAATCGTACGATGTTGCACCTTGAAATCTGTCCCCAACTACAGATAAATTCTATCCTAAAAACTACCCACATTGGTAGGCATAGTTGAATTGAATCAAATTGAAAGAAATCTTCATTAATGGTCAGAAGGTGTTGTCTGAGTGTTTTGTTAGTTAGCAGGTAATTTATTACTGATCTGATACACAAACTTGGCACTGTCAAATGATGATTAGTGTTTAATTTATTTTCAGGAAAAAGGGAAGATAACCCATTATCAGCTGCTTATATGTCCCATCGATATTTGAATTTTTGCCATCCCCAGAAAGAAAGAGAATAGTTAGAAAAAGGGGGATTTTGAAGAAAGGCAAAAGGCAGGACCATTTCAACAAATTCTGTTAACTTGTAGGCGTTGCAATATTAATTTGCAGTTGTTAGCATAACATTTAATGTGTCTTTCGACTAGACCTACCACACTCTAAAAATATCCGCCTACACCCCTTTTCACTAGAACCATAATACTGTAAAATATTTGATAGAAATAACCCCCGAGGGCCGAGGCATCATATCTTCCATTTGAAAGGGCTGTGGAGGCAGATACATTTTTTACTCTAAATTATGGAATGTTACTTCCAGGTTACCTTATCCTTGCTTATAGATATCTTGAGGTTAGTGACTCCAACTGACCCATGCATGCCACACTGAAAATTCTCTTGTGTACCCATAAAATAAGGCTGTTGGAGCCTTCAGACCTTGGAAACAGTCAAATCTGAGCACGATGGATCCATGTGAAACAAGTAATATGCATTTAGAGGGCAAAAATATCCCATCCTGAGCAGCACCGATCTACAACCTCCTGCCTATGGAATCAAAACATTAGACAAATTGGTGTACTATGCGCATTCACAAATCTTTGCGAATCAAGTGTGCCTTTTGACTAAAGAAAATTTAGCATTGAAATGGTCAATCTCAATATCAACCTAGTATCTGCAGATAAAACCAATTGTTTTTTAAAAATACATTTTTGATGTGCTTTATTTTTCAAATATAATTTATAATTACTGTAAAGTGTGTGATACATTTGGTTTTGGTACCATGAATACCATTTGCAAATTAGCTTGGGTTACACCCCTCTCAAATAAAAAATTAGACTCTTAAGTCATATCTCATGATATTCTTTAAACAAAAGGTTGCGACTAGCCGGCTACCCATCAGAATTTTCTTTCAGATCACAAAGTGAGACTAAAACCTTCACTACCAGACTCACCGGAACAAATTTTTTTT